TTTCTATTTGTGGTCACTTTGAGAATATGAATCAACACACAGTCAATTTCCACAGTCAGATATTGGCAATACTTTTAGACATAATGGTTTGGATTAGCACAAACCATTTATATGGGTTTGATTAAATGCTAAACAATTCATTTAGGTTGTGCTGCCATGATAATTTCTTCACAGATTGTGAAACTTTGGAACATAGCAGGACTGAAGTGATGAAGCATTTCTATTTTAATGGACTACTTCAATTACTCAGGACCATTTAGGATGCTTTTTAAAAAGTCAATTATAGTAATCCAATTTCAGAAGGCCTCACACATTTAAGAGGAATGAAAGGAACTTAATTCATAGGCTAGCTGCAAGGGTAAATAAGGTGCAGCACAACATTGTACCTACCCATATCCTTAGTGAGACTATCACCCAATTAAAGAGATCTAGTTGATTAGTCATGTAAATTTTAATCAATCATTTCTTATGAATTAAAGCTGCAAAACTCTACATATAAAGGAAGGGTTTGATTAAAAACATATATTTCTATTGCATGTCACACAGGAAACAATGCTGCCTCCAAAATAAAAACTGCCAGGCACAAGACCATCTGCACCATTACTGAAAACAGTTAAATTTCTGTCTGCAGTGACCTCTTTAACACATTTTTAAAAATCAAACTGAGTGAGGCTTGCACACTCAGTACTTTGCAATCGGGTAAGCTAAAGTCATCTCGACCACATCACTACTCACTCAACCAATTCTAGTACCTTTATTTTAAAGTTTAGGACTTCAATACCTGGAAACAAACCTGCTTGCCTGGAAAAGCATGTTCAACTGTACAGTGCTTACATATCTTTAAAAGTCACGCACTGGCTTTTAGCAGTGTTTGTCCCTCTTTTAGCCCAGTTTAATTTTGAACACCACTGCTTACCGTTCTGCAGTAGCCACTTATACTGCAATTCCTCTATAGGATTTCCTGTGTAAAGCCATTGTTAAGTAACTAGATCAGTACCTGGAAGTGCTACTAAAGAAAGATGCTGTACATAAATCTTCTGACTTAGCTACCAGGGCATCTGGAAGAAATACACAACTTGTTTTAACCCACAACTCAAGTCTTTAAATCTATACATCCATAACCTGTCAAGTTTCCTGCTACAAGGAGGCAAGAAGGACAGGTTGCTCAAAGGTATATCAAATAATCATGTCTCTTTATACACAAAAGAGCTACTATGGTAAATATCCAGTGCAAACATTTCTGGTAGAGCATGACGTTAAATCTAACAGTCCCTTTTAAACATGGGAAAATATGCAGGAAACACATCCAGAGGTGCACCCATCTGCATATTTATTTCACCTTTACCTTAAGGGCATGCATGTGAGCATCCTCAATGGTTCTTACAAGTATGTTCTTTCCTACCACAATTTCCTCATGGGAAATTCCTAAGGTGTAAAGTCCAGGGCATGGGCTACAGGAAACTATGTTGGGAACACACAGAGCACAAGTGTAGGGCAGTCCTGCACTGGATTCAGAAAACCAGAAGCAAGAGGCACATTTGTGAAACAGTCCAGAGTCAAGTCAGGCAGATAAAGATTCGGGCACCACAATCCAAGATCTCACAGGCCAAGAGCACAGGCCAAGAGTCAACATGCCTGCTCCAAGACAATAATGTCCTGGAGCAGGCAAGCTCAGGGAGGAGGGGTGTAGGTACCTGGAAAGGCAGGGTCCGCCCAGAGACAAGGACTGAAGCATGAACAGGTCAGAGTGAGGCAGGTAGGAACTAGGATACAGGAGCCAGAGCGGATGATGTCACCAAGATAACTCCTGTTGCTGCAGCACAGAGCAGCAATGCGGTGCATGCATTATGCGCCCTCATCACTCCTCAGCTGTTCCCTGCAAAGGAGTTCCTGCTCCTTAAGCACTTGTAGGGTCACTCAGGTCCTGTCCTGACATGCAGCCTGAAGTAGCCCATATTGTTATGTAGATATTTATGATGGATGGCCAGCCTTAAGACGAATCCAGGCCAGAGCAAACAGAAGCTCTGTGTCTTTTCAAATTTTACCACTTACTGTATGCCCTGCCTTTTTGCCACAAGGAGCTCAATGCAACTTTTACAGAAGTAAGAATAGACTAGACACATTAAACTATATGTATGGCAATACTTTAAAGCATTAGACTGAGCAAATGCATAATACATATGTTCAATTAGCAGATAAACATCATTACCCAAACGGCTTTAATCCACATGCTAAGAAGGGTTTATTCAGCTGATTTGACCTTTAATGCTTATTGTTTAAGGAGTGCTAGGCTCTCAGTTGGAAGAGGCTGTATTCTGACATTAGGAATCTGTTCTGTCCCAAATGACAAGAAGGAACAAATCCAACTTTGGCATGCAGCATGACATCATAGCAGGATGCATTAATAACACCTGTGGAAGCCACAGGATTTCATAATATGAGAAATAAAAGTCAAATGCAGAAAAATCCCCTTCCACCAACAAATTACTTTGTTGTTAGTGGGTTTTTTAGTCCAAAGTAGTATCCCCCCACACCCCAAAAGAAACAAAGATAAAATAAATAAGAAAGATTATTGTGTGAAAGTATCAACAGGCTTTGAGATTTGCAAACAACATTTACAGCCACATCCTGTGGATGGGTTTTGGCTGAAGCTTATGGCAAAAACCATAGCATTTCCTGCTGAAGCTGAGGTACCATCCTGCACACAGCAAGCAAAACAGAAATCCTGTTCTTCCCCACTTGTTGCAAATTCTGTGGATTGGAGAAGAGCAGTGGCACATTGTCATGCTGTTTACAGCTGATGGTCTGGCTCCAGGTCCCAGGACAAAGTCAAGGAGCAAATGATGCAGCTGCTTTACTAAAGCGAAGAACTGGATCGGGACAGTGCCTGGAGGGAGACCATGTGGGAGGCCCATGCATACCATCTTAAATTCAGTCATGAAAGAAAGGCCAGATATAGATGTGCTAAATGAAAACAAGCACAGACCAGATTAGTTACTGTGAAAGGCAAGTATATCCCACTGTGTGCCATCTCTGTGCACAGTCCTGGGAGCCAGTGCCACAGCACAACTGCTCTACATTCAGTCAAAAATCACACTCAGCTGCAGCTCTGAAAAGCTTAATCTTTGTGTGGTTTGCTGTACAAATTAGCAAATCTTAATTACAACTTGTCGCACTATTTCTGACTTTCAAAGTTGGGGTCCTAAAATGTTAAAAATATGAAAGCTCTGCACTACAGACCGTCTCCTGAGTGTGAAAGCTCAGGCTGTGCTTTCTGCCCTGAAGTGCAGCCGGTAGCACGGCGAGGGTCTTGAGGGCTCTTGGACAAGGCATCTGCAGTGGGATCCTTCTCACTAGAAGCACCCACTGCTGCTCCTCCTGCCACCTGAGAGGCCAAAGGAGAGGCAGGTATGCAGTGAGCCCATGTTGAGGTGCCCAGCCATGCCTGCCCCAGATGCCAGCATAATGCATGACTTGACCCAATGTCCAGCTGAACCAAGCATCCACATACCAGAAGGTTAGACTGAGCAGCTTACCTGTTAAGCCACAATGTGTGGCTATAGAATAGTCCCATACAAGCAGCCATCTTATTCATGCTTGCTTGGAAGGAGTCTTACTGAAATCAAGAGTCATTGAGTGAGCATAGGAAGCCCTCCTAGGGTAAACCAAGCTGTAGTCTGCAGCTCTAAGCTAAGTTACAGTTGGTGTATGCTTTAGATATTTGTGCAAATCAAGCTCAGTGCAAGTTCAAATACACTTAGGGCCAGCACTGATCAATTATAACATGTGATATTGATTTTCAGCAACTCAGCCATGACACTTGAAAGAAGCAAGAAAGCCCTCTAACCCACTGATACTGTACCATTGTAAAGTTCCCCAGCCAGCATCCACCCACAGATCAACACATGCTGTACCTAGCTATCTTGCTCAAGGATAGGCTAGACATGCACATGGTGGCCATGTCATGAGCAGGGACGGCTGGAGCTGGGGGTCAGACTAGATGGCCCAGGGGACCCCTTCCGACTAGCTCTGTTTCTATGTTTCTATCCTCTCTTCACAGGAGTAGGCAAAACATCGCTCTCCAGATTTTTGGGACTTCAAGTCCCAAAAGGCACTGCCAGAATAGCCAATGGTCAAGGATGCTAGGAGTTAAATGAAAAACATCTGGAAATCTACAGTACTTTCAGCTGAGCTGAGCTAAACCAATGTGTGTCATAGCAGGTAATTCCAAAAAGTTGGAAGCAGAAAATGCCCAATTGGCCCAATACTTTCAACTTGCAATTGTCAAGGCCTAATTCTCCATGGACAAAGGCCTCTCTCATACCTGTTAATCTACACAATATAGCAACCATATGATGGGGGAGGTGGGGAGAGAGAGAGAGATTGGAATAGCTCCACAGGGAAGCCATTACAGTAAAGTAGCAGGCTGCTCGGGTACAGCAATTCTCAAAGGCACTGAAACCATTTTCACCATTCCAGTGTAGACCTTTCTTGTGAGACATTAGTACACTTGAGCTTGTATGGAGAAACCTGCCTGATCCCCATGGTGCATGTATAAACATATACAGTTGACTGCACAAGTCACCACATGACACAATTTAGAGCAGGCTCCTAAAGGTGGCTGTAACTTGTAGAGTGATCTGACAAAGCTGGATCCTCTCCAGATGTAAGCAAGCAGCTGTTACTGAACAATGAGGACCTCTCCCCACAGCCTTCTTGCACTTATCATCAGCTCCAGATTGCCTGGGCAAACCAAGGCATCCTCTGCAGAGCAGAGTTGGAAAAGTAGGCTTTCAAAGGAGAAGAGTATGCTCATGGTGATTTAGCTGTGTGTTTTGGCAGGCTCCAAGCAACTGCCTGGATGAGATGAAATGGACTTTTTAAAAGTTTCATATGAACCAGCATCTGTTCTTAATATCATATGGAAAGCTAAGAGAGGGCTTCTGATCATGCGCAAAATGCTGTTCCCTCCTTATTGGGTAAACACATGCCATGCTCACCTGTACAGCCCTATATGGTACACAAATATCTTGCTGGACATCACCTCAGTGTTTTCTGAAAGCAGCTGGGGGAGCACTGTTAGGAAACAGAATTGCTGGATAAGATGGGGCCTTGCTCTGATCCACCAGGCCTCTTCTTACATTATATTCCATTCAGCTGTTCCTACTGCCCCTACAGGAATACATCTGTCAACAGCTCTGAGGCATGACATGATAGCTGAAATAGAGCTCCCATGGTCAGAGGCACTGTACCTCTGAATGCCACATACTGTAAGCAGATGAAGGGGCGTGCGTGCATGTGTTGGCTTTACACCATGCATGAAGACTTCACAGATGCATGCAATCAGGATGTACCTGGCCCCTACTGCCCAGGTACGCTGCAAAAGGGCTGCTCTTGTGTCCTTTCACACAATGGGCAGGAGATCTGGGGATTACCCGACAGTTCAGGATATCGAAATGTCCCGGGACAGCCCTGCGCCCCTCACACCCCTCTGACCTCAGCCTGCGGCAGCGCAACTACTTGGCCACGGAGCCGGGTATCCTTGGAAGGCTCGTCCGTCTCCCAGCTCCTCTCTGAAGTTCAACAATTAAGCTCACGGGAAGCAAAAGCCGGTCTTAGCCTGGAGGACAACAGCTGGAGCACAGGCTCAAAAGGATCCCCTCCGTCTCTTACCTGACCAAGGGCTCCTTCTCCGGACGCGAAGCATCCCCCAGACATCTCCCGCGGCGGCAGCAACAGCAGCACAAGGCGTCCAGCCAGTCGCCTAGCCCCATGGAAAGAGTCTCTCCTTGCCCGGCACGTCGCAGCCGCAACCAGGATGGCCTACAAAACGCCGGTGGCCCCTCCCAGCAGCCTTGCTCCGCGCGGCTTCTTCGCTGCTTGCTGCATGGCGAGAACCAAAATCCCCTGGCCGGCTTCGACGCGCTCGCGGCTGGCCTTCCACTCCCTCCCGCTGGCTCGCCCCGCCCCGCTCCGCTCGGCCTGAGTCTCTTCCGCGCATGAGCGACGGAGACTCGCCGAGACTCGCGCCGCAGGAGCGGGCCTTTTAACGACGCGCGAGGCAGACCCGCTCACAACTGGGCGCCACCTACCGGCCGCCAAGCAGTACAAAGCGGACTAGAATACAAGCAGCACCTGGTTGCTCACCAACGGTGGGAAGAAAATGTTCAATAGAGGTCTCCTTCGCTTGATCCAGCAAGGCTTGTCTTGGGTTATGTAAGCTTTCATTATTTACAGAAAGCGTTTTTACTCGGCTCTTCAGCTAAATAGGGTGTTTAAAGCAGCTTACCAACGTCAATAAGGCAACCCATGTCCTTGAGGCATACAATCTAGTAAGTCAAGGCACACAAGGAAAACTGACTGGGAGGGAGGAGGAAGCATAATGGTGTGGTTGATGCAACTAGATGGGAATTTATTCTGCATCAGATTGTGCCCATCTTTAGGATCAGGTTCTCCAGCTTTGGTTCTTTTGTGGGCTGGAGCCTTGGGTTTTTCTCAGCTGGTGGTTTTTTGGGCAAGGGGAATCTGGGGGGGGGGCTCTTTCTGGTGGCAACCCACGTTCACAATTGGGTTGAAGACTGCACACATGCATGCACACACACGTGTACTCATAGAGGTTTCAGTGTGCAGGGATGGAGAAATTTAAACCCCACCCTTGCTGTACATTGAGATCAGGCTCTTTCTGCTAGAGTGTACTACAGTCACACTTCATCCCAACAGGTAAAATCATACCTGCCAAGCCACCTACCTGGGGATAGGTTTACTGGGGGAAAAGAGTAATCCTCATCCCAGAAATCCTGATCAAAATGGCTGTTGCCCTGTTCCTGTAATTGCCTCAGGATCACTGAAAGGGAAAGAGGAACTTACCCCAATACAGTGGTACCTCAGCTCACAAACGCCTCAGTTCACGACCAAATCAGGTCGCGAACAGAATCATAAAAATTTTGCCGCAGGTCACAAACTCTGCATCAGGTGGCTATCGCACCCATGTTCCCTACCCAGAGCGCTCCCGCAATCACGCCTGTCTCCCCCCACCCTCCCGCATGATTGCTGGGAGAGGGGGAGATGGCCACGATCTTTGTTATTCTTTGTCACTTTGCTTCAACTTTTGTGAGTAGAAAGAGTTACAGAACTGATTAACCTTATTTACATTGACCCTTATGGGGAAATTTGACTTGGCTTATGACCAATTTGGGTCATGACCAGAGTCCTGGAATGGATTAAGTTCGTGAGCCAAGGTACCACTGTAGTGATCATTATGATTATTTTCCCCCCACTGTTACCAGCAACAATCTGTTCCTCACCACCCAGCTGATGATCAGCTGAATGGCAGAAAAAGCAGACAGGACCCTGCAAGCTACAGAGTGGCTGTACGCTGTATGTGGCCTAAAAGATGCCCTTAGGATGATACTAGAGTTGTCAGCTACAAACACACAAGTCTATATATGGAGAAGAATGATATAGTTTTTAAAAGGAAAAAACTATACAAAACTGCAATAATTTATACACAGTGCAGAGGATAGTAGAAAAGTTACTCATACAACAAGTATGTATTACCAGAAAACATAAAACCTTCTCAGAAAAACATTTCACCAGTAGCTCATCATTTGCAAATCAGATGAACATTCATAAAATAATCCAAATCACTTGAATAGGATAGAGAACAATTTGTTTTTATTAGTTTGTCTATTAACATTTTAGACAATATTTGTCAGTACCATTTTATTACTGTGGGAAATTCCTTTTTAAAAAATTGTTTTCTTAAAATTGATAAGATACAGAAAGAAGGATGTAAGAAAAAATATAATAAAATTGCCAAGGGATTTTAAACAAGTCAAGCAATACATTCATAACCTGCATATTTCCGAAGAGACCAAAAATTTCTATCTTTCTGTCAAAAGAGTGACTAGTTCTCTATACCAACAAATTTTCTAACAGCTTAAAATCAATTATAACTCATCAACAATATTTTAATGAGCTTCCTTTTACATATTATACAGGATATAATAGAATTTCTTCAATTGGTCTTCTGTTTACATAATTAGTTAATTGTACTATCACTGCATACACCACCAACTTATTTTTCCAATCTTCAATTGTTGGACATTCTGGTGTTTTTCATTTAGATGTAAGTGTAATTCTTGCTGTAGTTGTCATATTTGAATAATTCTGTCATGTTCTTTAAAAATGTCTCTAGCATTATGTTCAAAAGCATATTCTTAGGACTCATAGGAAACAGTCTTAAAGGGTTTTTTTTTTTTGTATTTCCACATCTCAATTTCCAAAATGTTTTATTTCACAAGCCCATCACATATGGTGAAAAGTCCCATCTACTTTATTGCATTTCTAACATTTTGCATTGTACTTCTTGTCTATTTTTTCGATATCTTTTGGGGTAATATACCACCAAAAAGCATCTTATACCAATTTTTCTTAGTGCATGACTAGCTGTGAATTTAATGTCTTTCTTCCATAAAGTTTCCCATTGATGGGGTGATATTTCTTCTTTGAGGTTCTGCATCCAAATTGTCATAAATTTCCTATCTTGCTGGTTTTCAGTCCAATGTTGAAATAACTGCTTATAAAGTCTTCCTAATAGATGATTATTTTGTTGTGTAATCAGCTTTTCAAAATCCATCAGGTCTCTTACAGTGCCTTTCCCTGATTGTATTTCCCTTCTCAGTCTTGAAACCAATTGGTAGTAAACAAGCCATTGTATATTTTTCTTTTCATGTTATTGCCAAGATTTAATAAGTTATAAATGCTTTATTTTTCCTTAAGTAGCTTCCATATGCTTCAATTGGGGACATCAAAGCAGGAACAGGAAGACTAATTCTTTTTCTTATAGAATACCAAAATTTTATTAAGCTCTTTCTTAATAAATGATTATTATTTGATCTCAATGCCTTTTTAACTGACTCAGACCAGGCTAACTGCATAATAATATAGTTTTAAATTAGGTAAGATTCCTGACTGGCCTGCTGCCAGTGAAAAAAGGGTCTTTGCACAATGTCATTAAGTTCTTGACCAGAAATACTGAACAATACCAGTTTAGCTGTAGACCTAACGACAGAGTATAACTATCAGACAGCTTGGGACCACAATACCTGTCGAAGCACCTCTCCCAACCACATTCTACTATGCTCAACTTTTGGGGTCTTCCTCTGAATGCCGGTTCTGAGGGAAGTTCAGAGGGTAGCAACAAGGGGAAGACTTTCTCTGTAGTTCGCTCCCCAGTGGAACAACCTTCTCACTGTGGCCTGTTTGGTGCCAACCTTGTCATATTTTTGGTGCCAGGTTAAGACAGCCTATTATACCAGTACCATTACAGATTTACTGGGTTCCAGGAGCTTGAGAGTATTACCCATCACAGGTGTTCTTTTTACAGGGCCATTTTTACTGTGTATTTTAGCTGTTTTAAATTTTTTAATGCAGTTTGATTATATAGTATTTGTACTGTAGTTTGTTTTTTCTGGATTTCTGTAAACTGCCCAGAAAGCTTTGGCTATGGTGCAATACAGAAATGAAATGATTTCATCATAGACTAACCTGACATTCCCACTGTACATAAATATGTTTTCATGCCTACACACACACACACTTCTACTCATCCATGCTTTAGAGTGCAGGAATAAGGAAATTTAAAACCCACTCTTCCTTTGCACTGAGATTAGGCTTTCTCTGCTAGACTGGACAACAGTTACACTTCATCTCAACAGGCAAAAATCATGCCTGCCAAGCCACCTATCTGGGGATGGATTTAAGATAGGATCAAAATGTCTGCAAATCCAGCTGCTGTTAATAGTAGTGATTGAACTCTGGTAACCCTCTTTCCACATGATGTAGTCCTCTATATAAATGGTCTGTACAAGCTTCTACATTAACTTTTTTAAAACTTTTGTAGACTGTCCCATTACTGAAGTCTCGGGATGGTTTAACAATACAAAATATAAGAAAAGAGAAATAAATGATTAAAACACAGCACCCAAAAATTATCAATAATAAAAGCTCAATTAAAACAGTCAGGTCTTAAAACACTGGGAAAATACAAAGGTTTTGGCCGGGCGCCGGAAAGAATAAAGTGACGGTGCCAGGCAAACTTCTCTGTGGAGCGAATTCCACAATTGGGATGCCACCACAGAGAAGGGCCTTCCCTGGGTAGTCACCCTCCTAATCTCCTTCAGGGAGGGCACCTGGAGAAGGGCATCTGCCCCAGATCTTAAGGGGCAGGCAGGCACATATGGAACTAGACACTCCTTCAGGTATTAAGCCATTTAGCACTTTATAGGTCATCACCAGCACCTTAAATAGGGCCCGGGCTTCAAATGGAAGCCAGTGTAGGTGGAAAAGGACCAGCGTTATATGTTCAAACCTGTCAGTCCATGTTAACAACCTGGCAGTTCTATTCTGGACCAGCTGAAGTATCCGGACTGACTTTGAGGGCAGCCCCACATAGAATGCGTTACAGTAGTCCAATCGGGAAGTTACCAGGGCATTGGTCACTGCTGCCAGGCACTGCCCATCCAGACAGGGCCGCAGTTGATGGATCAGCTAAAGCTGAAGGAAAGTGCTCCTTGCCACCGCCACCACCTGGAATTCCAGGGACAGCTCCTAGTCGAGGAGCACTCCCAGACTGTGCACCCTTTCCTTTAGAGGGAATGCAACCCCATCCAGAACAGGGTTAGAAATACCTACCCAAGAGGCTAAACTGCCTACCAGCAGGACCTCCATCTTGTCTGGATTAAGCTTCAATTTATTGGCCCTCATCCAGCCCATCACCCTGGTAGGCACCAGTTCAGGGCCTCCACTGCCTCACCTGGATTCAATGTAAAAGAGAGGTGGAGCTGGGTGTCATGAGAGTACTGATGACTCTGTAGCCCAAACCTCTGGATGACCTCTCCCAGCAGATTCATGTAGGTGTTGAATAGCATGGGGGATAATATGGAACCCTCTACAGAGCCACAATCCCCCAGCACCACCTTCTGGAATCAGTCAGACAAGGAGGAGTGGAACCACCACAGAGCAGTGCCTCCAACCCCCCAACTCAGCCAGCCTATCCAGAAGGATACCATGGTCGATGGTATCGAAAGCCACTGAGAGGTCCAAGAAAACCAACAGGGACACACTCTCCGTCCCTCTCCCTGCACAGGTCATCATACAGGGCAACTAAGGCAGTTTCCGTCCCATAACCAGGCCTAAAGCCAGACTGAAATGGGTCTAGATGGTCAGTTTTATCCAAGAGAGCCTGGAGTTGCTCAGCTACCACCCACTTGAGCATCCGGCCCAAGAACAGGATGTTGGCCACTGGTCTATAATTAGAGGCCAACTTGCATGTCTGTTAATATTTTTATAGTCCTACCCTTTGTCTCACTTAACCCAGAGGGCAGTTGATATGAACATGGGACAAGGCTTTCTTGGCTGCAGCTTATAGACTGTGGAACTCCATCCCCTGGGAAGCACATACCATATCTTTGTGTTGATGTTTCAATGGCTAGTGAAGATTGTTCTTTTTAGATGAGTCTACAGCAGCAGTAAAGGCATGCCCCTTTATTGTTGACACTGATGGGACTAATTGGTTGATTTTAATGTCTGTTCCTGTTTTAGTGTCATTTAAGATTTTATTGCTGCTGTTAATGCCTGTTGTGTTTGTATTGACTGTGTATTCCCTCCCCATTCCCATTTTATACTGCCCTGATGTGACCTGGAGGCAGAAAAGTGACCCATGAGCAAACAAATCCATCTTAGGGAGAGTGGGCAGATTTGTAGAGGATAAGTCTATCAACAGGTATCAATCATGATAGATTAAAATCTCCATGTTCAGAGATGCTCTGCCTATGAACATTAGGTGCAATCCCCAGCCTCACTAGATTTTTAGGGAGCAGGACTGAGAATTTAGATATAATTGTGGGTTTACAAGAGCCATGCATCGCTGTCATGGATAGGGCATTTTGGAGAGCTTTCATTTATAGCTTTACCATAAAGCCAGAGACAACTTGATGGCAAACAACAAAGCTGAGCTACCCCAGAAAGAATCTTTTGGCCAAGGCTACTCAATATGTTTCATGATTCATATGAAATGCTCTAATTCAAGTTCTACTTCCAAGCCTCATGCTTTAGGTTAGTGATAACCAGCTTGCCAAACTAGTTTTCCCCAACTCCTGATAACAACAGTGTACTCTATTTAAATTCAAATGAACACAAATGGATGCTTGAACCTCAACTTAATTGATGGTAAAAGGTCTGGCCTTCCAAAACTAACGGTCATGCTCAGAAACTTATTTTAATTCCTGGAGTAGTGAACTGGATATAACAATTTTTTAACATATAACATAAAATAACAATTTTATGGACCTGCTTGAGCTGCAATGGCGTGATCAAGTGCCCCTCTGGGTCAGCATATTGATTTCCACAGTGGCCAGCCAGATGCTCCTCTTTGTTTTTCGCGTAAAGTCAACACAAAAGGGAGCTGCTATCCCGTTGTTAGTTCCAGCACATACTACTTAGAACAGTACTGAAGGATCTTTTCTCATGGTAATGTGCTAAGTGCCACACAGCCGCACTGTGCGTGGGCGTCTGCGCGGGGGCAGTATCATTCTCTCAACACTCATACCTGTAACACACCTGTATACTTGCACACCGCTTTCTTAACTCACGCACCCACCCCATCCGAAGACGGAGGTTCCATTCCATTTCCGCTGTCGTCTCCTTGCTAGGGAGAACCTCGCATAAAACTTCTGCGGTTGTAACACTTTCTGAAAGCGTAGGCGCAGGGCTAGAAAGAAAAAAACGGGCACCCTCTTTCTTCGTATTTATTTCTCCCAGGGAGGGCCTGTCCATCTCGCGCATTCTCTCACCATCATTTTCCAGCACCCTGTTGAATTCTAGACATGTGAAGCTCCGGAAAACTGAGCCAACGTTCAGCCTACTTCCAGGTAAATCAAAAAGCAGCCATGGCGTTTGCGGGAAGAGGACTAGGGCCACCACGGAAGCCAGGCTCAACCTACCCACTATGCCGTTTTCCCGATAAAACTGCCGTTATTCCCCGTCTGTTTACCTTCTTAAGAAAGCGGATCCATCCTTACAGTGAACACGCCTTTTAAAATGGCGACGGTAATCCCGTACTCACGCGAGAGCTTCCTCCTCACAACGCGCATGCGCAAATTTATGTGCCTGTTTGTCTCCGCTGCCTTTCAATAAAAAAGTTTGTGTAGTTGTTGGTTGATGTTCCCCCGTTTCGGCTTTCAAATAGTCAGCTGGGAAGCCCCGCCCATTGTTTTCACTTCCGGTTTGGGCGGAGGGGGCGGCGTGGTGCCGCTGCCGGAGAAGGGAGGAAGCGGGAGCCCACCGGGGATGGTGCTGGCGGCGGCGCGAGCTCCTGGCCTGCGACAGGCGAGTCGAGAGCGTCTCCTCCAGGTGAGCGGCGCGGCGGGCGCGGTGCGTGACGGAAGCCCCCATTGGCGCTCTGGAGGGCGCAGGGTGGGAGCCCCTGTCATGCGCCCCTCGGCGTGGCAGCGCGGCGCGCAGGTCGCTGCCCCCCGCCGTGGCCGGGCGCCTGTCGGCACGGGAGGCCAAGGTAGTGCGGCTCGCCTGCGGGGCCCGCTCCCGCGAGAGGTGGAGGTGCTCACCGGCTCAGACGGCTCTCGAGGCAGGCTAGGCTCGGGGAATTCGCGGGGCCCTTCGGTTGCTGCACCTGGCTCGGAAGTAGGCCGGCGCTAAGGTGCCCCCCGTAGCAGGGGCTGCTGCCTTCGCTGTCATGCCGCCCCGCGTGCCTCCCGGAGTTCTGTGCGTCCTGTGCTGGGAACACGGATTTTAACGGAGCCGTCTTCCCCAACTCGGCCCTCTCGGTATGTTGGACTGCAGCTCCCATCATTTCCAGTCTCTTTGGCCTCGGATAGGAAGATGGGTTTTGTAGCCGGAGAACAGCACAGCGGCCTTCCGTACATTTATCTTATTTTTAAAAATTATTATTACTTTTAGGGGAAGACCAGTAAGATGGTCGCTCGGTCTGAGGACCCTTAAGTTTTCAATGGATTTATCTTCTCCTGCCAAAAGTTAATCTAATCCAGCATCCCGTTCCCAATAGGCAGAATCTAAAAGGAACTGGCAGCCTCTCAATATGGAGGCTTTGTTTTGTCAGCTATTAGCCAGAATAGCTATTTTCTGTAACTTTATTCAATGCCTATTTAAGATGCCACCACATCCTCTTACAGCAAATTCTATCAGTTCATAATATATTGTGCAGAATATTGATCTTTTAGAGTCTTGAATATGCTGTTCATTGCATGATCTCAAATATTAGCAATAAATGAAAGTTCATTATTTTATTAACTTCTGCTATGTCCTAAGTTGCTCTAAAATACAGTAAAATACTAACTCTCTCTCACACACACACACACACTCTGTCTCTCTCTCTCTCTCTTATAAGAAGGAATGCTCCAGCTATATGGTAATTTGAGATTCTCATTTCTATATTCTTCTGGGGAGAAAGCCTTTCCATGTTAAATGCTTTCATGTAAATGTGTGTAAATTATACATACAGATGTGTAAATTATACGTGCAATGGAATGGGCCAGGGCCAGGCCACCTGATGCATTTCAGGTGTTTTGGACTGCAACTCACATAATCCTTAATTAAAGTAGGGAGATGTTTTTGATTTACAAGGATGAGAACTCTTTTAGCATAAAGTCTGTGTAGTATGCTAAATTCTGGGGGAATGCGGGGGGGAGAGTTGATGAGCAAGAGAGTATAAATTAACAGATGCCTCTCCTCAATAAGATAGATGTGCTAGGTATTTTGTAGGTAGAATAAATTATATGTACCAAACTGTTTCAGAAATATTGATTGATGTGTGAAATCCTGTGGCTTTTGTTTATCTTTTGCCATCCCTGTTTGAGCATCTGACCAACCTATGTTTGTTCTGCCAGAGAATGGCAACCAGAATGATCAAGGGTCTAGAACAGCTCCCCATGAGGAAAGATTTATGACTGTTTAGCCTAGAAAAAAGGCAAGTGAAAGGAGGTATGATAGAAATGTAAAAATAATATGCACAATGTGGAGAAAGTGGATGGATTTCTCATAATATTAGAACCCACATTCTTCCAGTGAAGTTGAATCACAGGAAATTTATGACTGAAAAGAGGAAGCAGTACTTCACTAGCGTATTAAACTATGGAATTTGCTACCAGAGGATGTAATGGTGGCCATCAGCATCTTGGAAAATACCTCTACCTGAAACCTTGGAAAGCTGCTTCCAGTTGAAGTGGATGGCTAAATGGACCATAAGTTTGACACAGCAACATGAAGATTTCTGAGTTCAGAAGACTGTTTTTTTTTTAAAAATGGAATAAATTCTGTTTATTGAACCTATTGTGATACATAAGTTATGCAAGAGAAGCTAGGCATGAAAAAAATTTCATATTTAACCTTATATTTGGGGCAAAAGAAAGGTAAAAGCCTGGTCAAAATAACTTTTAATGCAATACCTTTATTTTAGATTGAATATAGCAGTAATGCTAACACTGGCAAGCAAACTAAAACGGGATGAAGGTGTCAAGGGGCCCCGTACATCCAACCCAGCTTCTGATTCTACTCGAAGAGTTTCAGTTAGAGATAAATTGCTTGTTAAAGGTAACACCATTCTATGTATAAAATACAACATTCTTCTAAAAGTTTGTTAAATTGTCTGTTAATTTTCTTAAGTGGTGTGCAGTTTAACATATAGATGGTAGGATTTTAAATGCATTAATGTGTTTACAAATAAACTTGTACATTGTATGGAAAATGTAGGTAAGAATCCCACCTGAACTTCTGGATTGTGTAAATACATTTGTACAGAGTAGTCGTATATGAGTTTGCTCCATTGTATTAAACTGAGCTTGCTTTGTAGTTAGTGTGTAGAGGATTGCTGTCTTACATATTGTGCAATATCGTCTTCATGCATCTATGCCTCCCTTTGGTTTTTCAGCTCCAGTCCTTTTTGTCTTCAGGGCGGGGAGCAGCACTAAAGCTAAGGATAATGTGGGGTCCCTAGCTAGCTAGCTAGCTGTATAGTAACCCCTTGCTTTCTGGATGCTTGTTATTTTGTTTGGGAAAATGGCACCCATTCCTAGTGGCAGGTTATGTGTAGGAGAAAAAAATATGGGAGATGGAACATGTACAGAGGAAAATGAGGCTGGAGGTAGACTTAGCAATGGGCGATCATTAGTTAGCAACATGTAAGTTAGCCAGCTAAAAGGAGAGATTGATAATTTCCACATTCATGAATAAACATGCATAGGATTGAGTTTAGGAACATGTTGGCCCTGTTTAAAATTAAACAATTAAGTTATCTGATAATCTCATAAAACCTGAAGAGGTACTTCATTTTACTTTTGATTAACTGTGCACGAAATTTGAGTCCACAGCTTAAAATAAGCTTTTTGGTAACCTGGTCAAAATGAAAGGTTTAGAATTTGAGCGCACATATCTTATTAAAGACATTGACTCTAGAGAGTCAGAGAAGAGGTAAAATCCTCAAGGAAAAGAGCAGTGAATTTCCAAACTTTCTAGATCTTCACATTTATAGGAAAGGAGTATATAACATGCATATCACATCTACTGCAACAGTAGAAATTTATAAAAGTGGAAGTTGCAAGGAGATAAAACTCATGCTTAGGATGAGTTGAATGTCCCCCAAGAGATACTAAATCCTGGGAAATCCAGTTGATTTATCTCTTTAAACAGAGGAAACTTGGAAGTCACAGCCAGGCATTTGAGGGTTTTGAAAAGGTAGTTGGTGTTTCTGCTGAATTATGCCAGGCTTTGACTATAGCAATAGTTCTAAAAATATGTACAGCTAATGTTTAATTCATATTCTAATATATTGCTATAGGACATGAATTGCTCAATTCATGCTCAATTGGCTGTTGAGCTTCTGGCTGTTTACACTGCTTCCATCTGTTTGTAAGACTGGATGGAAACAGTACACAAGCTTGCAGCACATTCCTAATAGTCAACATTTGGAGCCAGCTAGTATCTTACTAAGCAAGGTGTATTCTCTTGTTTTCTGCAAATAGAACTGCAACTATAGTTGCAGTTTGATAGAAGCAGGGTTTGACCAAAGAAGTAGTAGGGTTGCAGCCAGCATGATGGATTTGGGTTTTTCAAAGTGAAATCATTTCAGAGTTTCTAGTAGATGAAAATGTGGTTTATATGCCATTTTCTGGAGAACCTAAAATGCATTTTTCTGGAGTGATAATGGGCTAGACTGTAGGACTTTTTCTGTCTAAACATGCATATACTTGCACTCTGTTTAGGACCTTTACAGTGCCACCCAAGGTGGCTACTTGCAATCTTCCAAATTCATATGCTTATGGGCATCCTGCCAAAATTGGGAGGCCTGCAAAGGCAAAGTCACCTCCACTTTTCTTCCGCCCTCCAAAATACTTAAACATCTGGTCTTGGTTGTCTAAATCTTGTGCCCAAGCTCCCTGGGAGGACAGGCTGAGGTACTACCAGGATGCATGATGTCCTGGCAGAGCCTTAAAGTTGCCAGCTCCCACCAATCACTGGCTCCAAGGTTGGTCTTCCAGCCTTAGAACTGCAGTTGGGATCGTTGCCAGATGTGAAGGTAGAATGAGGACACTTTTAGGGCAGAGTCCCAGTTCCAGTCTTGGAGTAGCTTTGTAAAATGTATTTTGCTAGATAGTGTCAGCTAGAGATTGCAGTGTTCAAATATTGTATCTCATCTGTAGGGAAAGAATGTTCATTTTATGCTCAGTTTCAATGCATTTGGAGCTGGGACTCCAACCTCTTTTTGGCTGGCTAGACCACAGAATTGTACCCTGAATGAATTTTGGCAATACATTTATGATACTGATCTCTTGTGTGATATATTGCCTTACTATACATTTTGTGTGATTCCATATATTGAGATTGAGTGTGTATATATATTCTGTGTAGTGTTTTTTCTTTTAATTGTTGTATAATAACAATTTTGTTCATTTAGGTATAGATTGTCTTCAGTGTTCTAAATTGAAAGGTCATATATTTTAAAAAAATGTACAGTGACTAACATTCCTGTTTTGTTTTTGACAGAAGTTGCAGAACTTGAAGTAAATTTACCTTGTAAGTACAGTATTCAGTATGTATTTTGGGGAGTGTACAAACCGTTGCTTTCCAGTTTCATGTACAGCTGAGAGATGCTGTGGATGTTTAACTGAAGTACAGGTTATCTGTTGTAAACGGCAGCAATATTTTAATAGGCAATGCCAACTGGAGATTGCAATTTTATCTTGTGAAAGAAAATGTTCCTTTTATCTTTTCCTTCAATGCATTTCCTGCAATTTGAAAGTTTTCTGTCACTTATAAACAGAATATGTTCCTTTTCTTCCTTTTTCACTTTTCAAAATACCTTAAGAGCGAATTTAACATTTTACCTGTTTATTTGGTCAGCTGCTGTGCTGCTTATTGTTTCTTTATTTGAAGCATTTTATGCCACATCTTGACCAGAATTAAGCATGAGAATGCCTGCCCACAGGCTTACGTAGCCCACAGGGAGAAGGAATGGAGAGGAAATAGGAAGGAAATTAGTTCTGTTAGCAGGGCTAGCTAACTGGCCTGGCCGCCTTGCCCCACATCTACTTTAGCCCAGCCTGTTGGAATGGCTGCTGGTGGAGCAAGTTGAGGGAAGGTGAACTTAATTGGAGTGTGGAATAACGCTGCTTCCCCCTTTCCCCTCCTCTCCCTAAACTAAGCCTGTCATTGTCATCCTTGCTTGATTTTAAAATAGTTAGCTGCTCTAAGAAGAGTAGATTTTTTTAAAAACCCTGAAATAGAGAAGAGAGTGTTTTTGCAAAGAGAGCAAAGATCCATTGCTTTCTTTTTGAAAAAACTGAATCAATGTCACTTCTGAGGAAGAATTGTGATACTCAACATGTTTGGTAGTATATTGCTTTCTGTGTACCTTTTTGGGTCTCCTTACCTTTCTTTCCTGTGTTTGGTGCTTCCTTTCATCTGTAACTTCAATCAAAAACATCATGGTTTTCAGTTATTTTCAGATTTTATTTTCATTTTCAGGTACATGTGAAGTGAACTTTCCTGACCCAAATAAACTCCATTACTTTCTCCTAACTATAAACCCAGGTAAACTTTTAAATATATATACACACACACAAACACACATATTGAAATGATGTTAAGTTTTAAGTGACCACACAGAATGTACTTGGTGTTGTGTTGTTCACTAAATTATTTTGACACTTGAATGAAAGGCTTGCTATTTGAATAGAACTACAGATTAAATGGGTAGAAAAATTACATTGGGACCATAAAAAAAATGTAATCCAAAAAGAGGACTGTATCAGTCAAGTAAAAGGTGTGTGTCAATCTGCAAGGTACTAAAATAATTTTTTATTTTGAAAAAGTTAGGTTTTAAGCCAAAGATAATATAATATGTACAGAATACATTAAGTAATAAATCAGAATCAATATAAGATAGGTTAATCATTCAAATATTAATAATATTTGATAATATTTGATAATAATAATAATATTACATTAAGAAATGTGCATATGGAATAAACATTTCTTATGAAAGAATTCTTTATTGAAAATTATATATACAGTGAGTACATAAACTTTTGGCACCTAGACATCATCTGAGGGTCACAGGACAACTGATATTCCAGATTCAAAGTGAGAAACAAAGCTCCAACCTTGGAGCTGGGACTCTGTTCTCTGATCTCCCAATGCCCTGCAGGCAACATGGAAACTATCAGGCAGAGGTGGAGGGGAGGAGACTGGGACTGTCAGGATGCAATGTATCCTGACAGTTCTTCAGCCTCCTGCACCCCCTCTGAATGGCCTCAGCTAGATGGCCAAAAATGGCTGTCTAGCTAAAATGCAGAATGGGAGGTATAATGGGTAGAGATTTTGGCTTCTGCTTTTCTTGCTTTGCACTGGATGCTTGTAAGCTTCTGAGTTTGGAGGCCTCAATTAAAGAATGCATTAATGAAAGAAACATCAACATGACTCAGACCATAAAAACAAAGCTCAAAACTTTTGGTATGCCCATATCCTATCAAGTTCCTAATACAAAATACTGTTGGATGGCATTATTCTGGTGCTTCATTATTCCAGAGCACTTCAAATATTAACTTCTCTAATTGTTGTCTTCCTTCTCTAACTCAGTATTATATCAGTCATATTTGCCATATCTCAGACTGTTAGCAAACAGTCATGGATACAGGGTATAATTTCTTTTTTCACCTGTATATTTTTTCACCTGTGGCTTTTGTGATAGTTAACAAATGAATTGCTATTTCTCTGTCCTCAAAGGAGTTAAATCCAGTGTCATGCTAGCAGAAATCCACTGGTACAATAAGACTCTGTCCCAAAATTTTTCTTTAGAGTATTTCCTGGATTTACAGAGTGGATTTTGATGGTATGTAGAGAAAAAGAGTCCATTTTTGGTTCCACTGATGGAGCTGATTCTGTTAGCTGAATGGATTCAACACTGCATTTCTCAAAAAAACATTAAATTGCTGGTATATAGTTGACTTTTTATGATTAATTATGGATAAAATTCATTCTGTGAAATGAACTAGTGAAATTTTTTTAACAGTTTTTGCGACTTTGAAATTTTTTTTTTCACAGATGTTGGCACTAGATGGCACTGACAGAACTTCAGCATGTTAGTGAAGCTTGGTTTGAATTAGAAATCTTGATACTTTAATCTTTACAGAGTTTTCCCCTCCCTCCATCTTAAAGTTTTAAGGCAGAGCAAGCAAATATGACTAGAAATTCATAGCACAAATTTGGTTGATAATTATGTATCAGTATGTGACTTTCAACTACCCAGTTTGCTGATTCACACTTACCCTGCCTTCAAAGCTCCCACACTTGTCTATTCCTGCTTTAGCAAGAGAACATGCCCCCCCGTGACCATAGGATTGCAATCTAAACATTTTCTATCTCCCAAAAGATGGATTTGCATCGTTCATGCAATATCATAAATATTAGTAATTTCATCTTATTTTCCTGCAGTAGTGTCTCAACTGAAGAGGCTCATACCATGGCAAATAACCTGTTGTTTCATTTTCTCATATATGACCACAAATAATTCATTTTTATACCACAATTTTCCAAGTACCACAATTCCTTAACCACTTATTTTTATTGAAATTTGCATCCTATATGGCTGTAACTGAGGCTTCAACTAGGCTGCTATGTTCTATTTCTCTTACAGTCTTAATAAGCTTTCAGTTTACAAAGTACTGTTCCATGTATTGTTTCTTCCTTAGCTTGAATAAAGCCTGTAACTTCACTACTTTAGATTCTTCTTGGTAGGGTTCATGTGCATGCTATTTTATCCCTAAAGTGCCTAAGTGGTTGAAACATCTAGAGCAGGGGTCTCAAACTCGCGGCCCGCGGGCCAATTGCTGGGACGGATGGGGCACGGGGGAGGGGCCCTGCGGCCTTCAAAGTGCCAGCGGTGCCCGGGCCGGCCTCCGGATGAGCGGCCCACCACCACCGCGGTGGTGGAATACTCGATGCGGCCCAGCCTCACCCAGACTCTTACTTCCAGCGGCCCCCAGGTGAGTTTGAGACCCCTGATCTAGAGGGTATCTGTGGTCAATATTTGCCACATACAAGTTGTCAACAATTGTCACTGATCTTGTTAAAAATAAAAAGATAACTTCCCTGGTACATTATGTTTTTTTCTAATGAAATGGTGATGTCAAGGTAGGTTAAAGGAGAATGGGGGTATTGAAAGAGGCTGTTATAGAAGCAGGGAGTGATGAGCTGGGTTTGGTGGGGATGGGGTGAAGGGACATGTGTGTTATCTGCCCTTTTGGCTGCCCCCTGAAGACTTAACTATAGTTCCCCCCAAGCATTTAGATGCTAATATTGAATGTCAGGTCAGTCAGTCAATGTTTGACATCTGTGATCTTAACCTAGAAGAGCATAATGACCAGGTTTGTATTAATTGAAGCCTGGTTGAATGAACAGTGTGTATCATTCTCTTCCAAAAGGGCTGTTGGAACCCCTGGAATAATTCTGACGTGTTATTTGAAAAAGTCTCTGACATTATGTCAGAGACTGTTAACGCATATTCTTAGGACTCGCAGGAAACTTAGTTTTAAAGGGGTTTTTTTATTTCCACATGTCTCAACTTACAAAATCTTTTAATTATTTCACAAGTCCACCACATTCAGTAGAAAGTTCCATCTACTTTATTGCATTTCCAACATTTTCCATTGTACTATTTTTTCCTATAACTTTCAGGGTAAAAAAAAAAAAAAACACCACCAAAAAAAACATTTCAGTTTTCTCTTAGTGGTTGACTAGCCGTGAATGTAATGTCTTTTTTCCATAAAACTTCCCATTGATGGGGTGATATTTCTTCTCTAAAATTCTGCATCCAAATTGTCATACATTTCTTATCTTGCTGATTTTTAGTCTCATATTGAAGAAACAGCTTATAAAGTCTTCCTAATTTGGTCCATAAGTGATTGTGTATTCCTTCTTCAAGATCTGCTATTTCGAACTTCACTACCTGTCAGTAACATTTGTAATCCAATCTCAGCTGTGTAATAGTATAGCTTTAAATTAGGTACTGTGAGACCTCCTCTCTCCTTTCATCTTCAAGAATTTTGAATCTAATCCTCAGCTTTTTGTCATTCTAGATAAAAGCATTCGGTTGTCTTTGCCACTCTTGGAGAGTTTTTTCTGGGATAGAAATTGGTATCATCTAAAATAGAAAATTCAATGTGGGTAGTATATTCATTTTTATAATGGAAATTATTCCCAACCATGATGCTTTTAATTTGGTCCATTTTTGTAGTTCTTTTTGAATCTGCATCCATGTTGCTTGGTCATAGTCTTGAAATAATACATCATTCTGTCCTGTTATATTTATCCTTAAATATTTGACTGTATTTGAAGTTATTTCACATCCTGAAATCTTTTTTATATCTTCCTCTTCCATTGCAAACTTTAATATATTTTTCCATTTTCTTCTTATTAATCTTAACCATGGAATTATGTCTTGCCCAACAAATGTGGCTGAGCATATTTCGACCTAAATGTCTGCTCTGACCCTTACATGTCAAAATGTTATGTAACAGAATAGGCAACAATCACCTATGGACTGTGGAGCTAGATTGTCACGGACAGGCCCTTCCCTGATCATATGGTAGCTTCAGTTGCCAATATCTTCTGCAAGTGTCTGGTCAGCGCCCTGAATGATGATGAATCCAGAGTGTTTTATGGTTTATCTGGAGGCTTCCCTGCAGTTTTAGATGCTGATCCTGCTCAGGCTGTGGTTACTGCATCACATGAGGTGAAAACCCAGGCCATAAACAGTTTTTCATAAAAATTGTCAACCAAATTATAGAGTGAATTGCTATTGCTATATAAATTGCTATTTTTGAGTGTTGAAGAAAAGGTATAGTGGGAATGATCAGGTAGTGAAGTAATCACTGTAAATATGACTGAACATACATGAAAGGCCTCTTTCAGGCTTACTGAGTGATAATGCTGGTGGCAAGGATATATTTTCTGCCACAACTGCATCCGTACAATACAGTACAGCAGAGCTCTTTTCTTTTATGAGAGGTCTGTGGAATGTAGATCGTATCCATCAGTGCCGTACTTATGACAGCATGTGCATTTGCATGACAGGACAACCCACCTGCAAATAAGCTTTTCATTGTGGCTTGTTTGTGAAGCAACCCACTTGAGAGATGATTGGTTTCACTGTTTGTCCAGTCCACTTACCTTGGTGTGCAGTGTCCACCATGTTTTTCACCGTTTTCTTTAGGTTATATGAGAGACTTCCTGCATCTGTAATGACTTGCTGGTGTGTTAAGATCATCTCTGGAGATCCTAGTAATTGGGTTACCATTAAGACTTCTAAGGTTGACAGTCAGCAGAATATGGTCTCCTTGGTGGTGCCCCCTCCACTGTGAAATTTCTTCCTAAGAGCTATATGACTTGTTCTATCTATTACTGTTTAAACTGTGGTTAAAAACTTAATGTTTTCTTAAATTTTCAGGCTTAAAATTTAATTTATGAATATGTGAACTTAATATTGATTTACTGATAACTTGAGAATACCATAGTGTTGAAGGACGGCTATTAAGTGCATAAAAACTTTAAATTTGTGTATTTCCCTTAACAGATGAAGGTTATTATCAAAATGGAACATTTCAGTTTGAAATTGAGGTTCCTGATGCATATAATATGGTGGTAAGTAAGTAAAGTGTTTCGTATTGACCAAGTTTCCTTCTGCACTAGGCTTCAAAAAGCAGGTTGTCTTTTAGCTATATTTTACAGTATTTGATATATTGCCACATTGTAATGAGTTACATTACTACTACTATGGCTGTAGCAATCTTAGATTTATATCCCTCCCATTTTCCTCTGGCAAGGAGCCCAAGGCAGCTTAAAAGGTTCTATCTCACATCCTTTATACTTACAACAACGTTGTGACCATAGGCTAAGTTGAGAGTCAGTAAGTGGTCAGTGAGTTTGATGGGCATGTGGACTGGGTCTCCCGAGTCACAATCCAGAATTCCAACCACAAGAATTCCAGTCCACATTCCTCCTGTATTAGAAATGCAGCTTGCAAAAGAGAAGCTTCATTTTGTATGTGTGTTCTTACATGCAGAAACATTTTGATGTTACGAGAAGTAAAATGGTATCCCTCAGGATAAAGGAAAGACAATATGAAGACTCTTGCACCTCAGTAAAAAGTGGCTTATATATGCATTGTTATCTTGCATTACTTTGATGAAAAGCTTTTTTTATACTTGTCTGTATTAGAATGTGAGTTCAAAAAACACAACAGCTTGTTATGGGTTATTTAACCCCTGATGAGACATGGCACCTGCTTGCCTCCATTTTAAATACACAACCTTCAATCAGGTTGTTACCATGTTGTCTGGACCAGGTCATCAGATATTATGATAGGGTAAAACCACCTCATACACCCTTGGCTTGTTTGTTTTCTAACATTCACAAACCCCCAGATTTGCACTATATGAAAATGCCCACTTGGGTGATATACAAGCTGTTCCTGGCACATGCCATAAGCTCATAGTAGGTGAAGGAATGTTATGCAAACTGGATCACTGTCTCTTAAAAATTGATGTAAGACAAACTGACAATTTTCTGGTTGTAGATTAGTTGAAACTCAGTCTGCCCCCGTGCAAATAAGACGATGTCTGTTCTTTAGTTCTCATTCTCTTGTTTTTGTTTCCCTATTCAGTTTATGCTCCGCTTGATTGTGAGATCTAGATTCTTAATTTCCTTAATGTACTCTGAGCACAGGATATAGGGTAGGATCTAAATCATTTTATTATGATTATTATTATACCCATGTCAGTGTACTGCTAATCCAGATACCAGTAACCTGCTTGCCAGCTGTTTCTTAGAGAATGGCCTGAGAGCAATCAAATGGCACATCATATTCAGATGATATTAAATCTGGAAAATGGAGGAAGGGTTTTGATTTTTTTTTTTAGAAAATTATGCTGATGTTGCAGTTGTATCTGGAACCGTAGCGTTCCAGAAATTATTAATACCTTAGAGGGTTAAAAAAACTGACAGCTTCTGTAGCTACAAATGGCTGAAAGGATAGTTGCTAGAAATAGTTGCCCACTGGAGTAAAAACATATGGAAATTATAACTGAGTTGTAACTCCATAATTGTAATAGCACATGTTATTGGAGTTTTGGCTATCTGAAACCAAAGTGGGCATGGTGTCCCAGCCAGAGATCAAATGGAATTAGTCAGATGTAACTATGTTGATAGGTTTTTTAAGTTTCCTACCAGGAACTTATAAAAGTGATCAATGCACTTTTGTAGTGCAGTTCACTTTGAAGCTAAAAACATGATCTCATTAGCAGTTTTTGTCACTCACCCTTATCCTGCCCATAATGCAGTAAGAAAGCATTGCATGAAAAGCAGCACAGGTATGTGAGCAGAGCAATCCTAGATGCTTACATGTAAGCAAGTCCTGTTGAACTCAGTGGGACTTACACCTACATAAGTGTGTGTTGGATTGCAGGTGTAGGTCTTTAAGGAAAATATGAACTATGTGGCTAGAGAGGTTTCCCCAGAGAGGTCCGCCTGGCGCCGAAAAACAAATAATGACGGCGTTTTTAACGAGACCTTTTTATTTAAACGTCATTTTAATTGTTAATTTAATTGTTAATATTATTTATTTATTTTATATCCTTGGCCAGGTCCACTCAAATTATATTGTTTTTATATTGTGATTATTTATTTACTGATGTGAGCCACCCCGAGGCTTCGGCAAATGGGGCGGCATAGAAACTTCCTGAATGAATGAATGAATGAATGAATGAGTAGTATACCCTTTGCCTGTGCTAAGCTCATGCTTGTATGAAGCTAGAATTGACCTGGACATAGAGCATGTGGGTATTTCTTGCTCTACTAGTTTTTGAGGGAAGGTGCATACTTAAACTTGGAAACATAATAGAATATGTGATCCCTCCCTCTGTTGCGCCAGAGGAGGCTTATTTTTTCTGTGTGAGGAGAGATCCTGCATCTATATAACTATAGGATCTCCTGGTTGGTTTGATAAGCTTTTGCTGTGATGAGAACAGGTGGGATTCAGAGATGGCGCTTGAGCACAAGCCTGTGAACCACTTGTGATTTCTCTTCCAGTATAAAGCAAAAACAAGTCTCACTGAAAACACATCTAAAGCACTGTTATGAATATATATTACTCATGTTTGCTCTGACAGGGATAGTAATAAAAGTTGTGTGAAATGTTTTTGTATGCACACTTTAACATTTTCCCTTTGAACCCCTTTAGAAAAATCAGTGTTCTGTAGAAGTTCTTTTCTCCTACACATTATATATCTTGCTGTATATATTGAATCCTATTTCTGCTCACATTTGTATTTCCACTTCCACATAACAACAATAGCAAAAATCAAAGGAGCAGAAGATAATTTCTTTTTAAAGAGTAACTTGATATCTATAATAGGTGGTTGTGTGAACCCAACAGGCTAAATGTGTCCAGTGGGGTGTCTTACTCTAGTTCTTTAAAAAGTAGGCTTCTGTGAAATACCACAAATGGCTTTTAGAAATTCCTAATGTTTATTTGTTATTTATTTATTTAAAATATTTATATGCCGTCTTGTTTGCAAAAAGCTTCGGGACGGCTTACAGCATAAAATATAACATAAATAAATTCCCGACCCACACTGGCTGCAGTTAAAAACATAGAAAAGACAATATTAAAACTTATTAAAATATCGCTGGAATAAAAAGGTCTTAACCTGGCGCCAAAAAACAAATAACAACGGTGCCAGGCGGACCTCTCTGGGAAGTGCATTCCATAGATGGGGCGCCACTGCAGAGAAAGCCCTCCGGGTACTTTGCCTCCTAATATCTTTCCCGGAGGGTTCCTGGAGGAGAGCCTCTGTTGCCGATCTCAAGGGGTGGGAGGGCAAATATGGAAGAAGGCGTTCCTTCAGGTATCCCGGTCCCAAGCCGGTAAGAAGTAACTTACCATGTGGCATGGTGGGCTGCTGTTTAAGAAGCACTTGCCCAAAGGCAGTTGTGCTTCTGAAAGTGTTGGTCCTGGACTTTAAATCGGGGCTGGATAACCTAGTGAATTCCAGTATTTTGGCTTACGAATCCTGTAAGCTCTTGCAAGCATGGCTGCACATGGGGGTTGTAGTCCCAGACATTGGGAGGACAGTGTGTTGCCTATTACTATTGTAATAATTCCATGAATTGAAAGGCTTTGGTTTGTCTTTGGGTATGCTTTCCAAAATGGTGCCCCTTCAACACTTTTCCCCTTCTCTTTTCTTTGTGTGCTCTTGATATCAGCATCTACTTTGAGCATTGTTATCAATGGTGGGCAGGATCAGGAGGGACGGGCGGGATCAAGAGGGACTTTGCAGCTCTGGGCAAGAAACTCCAGGACCTAAAGGCCCTGGTGGTCATCAGATGAAGACAGGCAGGGGTAGTAAATACGGGGTTCTTGACTGACATAATACTGAAATGAAAAGAAAGTCATAACTGCTTGATAGGCGTTGGATTCAGCAAAACAAACATCTGTGATTCAGTTATTTTGGCAGTTACTGAAGAACACCTGGATATTTTTCACTGATGAAACTTTTGGGCTAATGCTGTATCATAAGTAAACCAAAACTTCAGTTAATCTTGATATGCATACTGGCTTTGTGGAACTGGCATCTTGTACTGGCAGAGCCCTTTAATAAATTCTCTTCTCCTAGAGAAGAGACTAATGCATCTGTCCAAACAGGACAAAACACCTGCGAAGTTGCATCTTTTTCAAACGTAAAGCAAAGTTGTAAATGAAAATGGTTTATCTCTGATTTCCCTCTGAAAATTTTTTGAACATAAAGCATTTCATTTTAATTTAGAGGAAGTGCCAAGCCAGGGTTCTATGAGATGACTAGCACATTCTAGTTGAGTGAATTAAAATGAATATATATTGAAAAAGTTTTCAAAATTAATTCTGAAATTTTGAAGAACTTTCCAAACAAATTATATACTACTTGGATTTTTGGCTACATACATACAAGTTAGGAAGATGATTTGTGAATGGCATCTCCACCTCTCTTTTTTTGGGTGGGGGAAGGAAATTCATATCAGCTCAAATAACACAGAGGTGAGTTGTATGTAGAAGCTCTGTATATGGACAAAAGAGGGTCTTATATTAAACTTTTAATATAAAATTTTGTACTACAAGCTGAAGTGGGTGGCATATAAATTTTAAGGAATCTTTTGGGCCTCCTTCGGTGCTAGTTGCCATTAATTTGATAAGAAGTTTCAGACTTTCAAGTGTAGAATAGCAATTAGCTTTCAGAAAATGTTATATTTTGCTTTTTCAGAATGCCTGTTTTGTTAATGTGGGATCTTGATGTGAAAGTACAAGGAGTAATGGTGTTCTGAACAGATTATTTAAAATATGTCTCACTTTTTGATAAGAATTTACTTTTTGATAGAAATGACACACCAGTTAAAATAAAATGCAGTTTGTGGGAGGTGCTATTATGATTAGTGGCTTCTTTCTGACAACTTACACCCACATGTGTAGAGAAAATTCTGAGGAACAGAGATAGAAAATAAAAAACATAAATTTCATACACTTGGTGCTGAGTCATTGCAATATAATAACTTAAGACCAATCTTTTACAAACTTTTTTTAGAATATCGAGTGTAGATTGCCACTACTAACCAACAAATCATATTCTTTGGGATGTTTTTAAAGAATGGGTGGGTTTGCACATCTTGGTACTGCAAGGATTAAAAATGTAACAAGACTCTTAAGATTAAAAGTCTGTACTTTGGAAGCATTCATTGCACCTACTTTTGGCTGCTGTTCTGTTATTCACTTTCTCTCGAATTTTGAAAAGGCCTATTCCAGTGGTCTGCAGCTAATTGATTATAAAGTGGAGGTGCAGACAGGAAGAAGGACAAACAGCTTGTGGATAGTCATGTGATCTCACATCTTTTTACTTGGCTGGTTTGAACAGTTGGGAAAGAAAAATAATCCATTGTAGCTTATTGTTCCACCCCAAGCGTGCTGGTTGTACATTGCTGAATTAGTATAATTAGTCTCTCCAGGAATAGTTTGCCATTTTGTCCAGACCTAGTGAGGGACTGAGGTAGTTTATAAACCACCCCACAACCCTAGAACAAGCCAGGGGTCCAGGGTGGTTTGCAAATCCACCTTTGGCCCAACCTCCCTGGCTTCAGGTGACCCAGCAAACTGCCCATACTAGTTATGGTAATTTAGCAGCATTCAGGGAGTGGGGAAAGAAGATATTTTGGCAAACCCAGTTGTGTGACCCTGAACACAGTATTTTTAGCTGCATACTTGGGAAGCCAGGAACAAGATGCTGAATGGGATGCTTCCCTCTGTTAAAATGGCAATGGGTAAGGTGGTAGGGAAAGAAAAAAGTTTGCACACGGGAGAATAGTGGAGAGGAAATTGCCAAAATAGTATCTGGGAATTCTTGACTTTCCCTTTAGATAGGGCAATGTTGTAATCTGTGTTTTGTTTTCTGACAGCCTCCCAAAGTAAAATGTTTGACTAAAATCTGGCATCCAAACATTACTGAAGCTGGAGAAATCTGTTTAAGGTAATGCATTATTTGTCTAGCTTGTTTTCCTCACACTTCATGTACTAGTCAAATGTACTATTCAAATGTTCTGTGTGTGCATCACTTTCAGTTTGTTTTATCTAAACACACTTAAATGGAAATTTTAATACCCAGTGCTTATAAGTTACAAGCTTTGTAAGCTCAAGCAAACAATCAGATAAGTGAACCAACTAGGTTCTTTTATTTTTTCCAAAAAAAGTACATGACGTGGGTTCCAAAAAGTATAACTTAGTGCAATAGTGCTATCCTTTTACTTGTTCAAAGACTCTGGCAATCTAATTTTAATGCCTCAGATGTGTGTTGTATTCTTTCTTCCCAAAGGAGGATATTGATGGGTGGCTCACATGTAAATCTAGTCCTTTGGAATTAGCTGTCTGTCAACTGCCCTCTCCTTTCTTCCTTTCTGCATTTCTTGAAGTAATTTACAGAAGGGGAGGAGAGCTGAGGAGCTGTTCTTTTTTATTAAAATGCTATGATCCTGTCCTGCTTTACACTGTGGGCAGAAAGGAAGAACAAGTGAGACACTTTACAAAAAGGTGGAATTACCTCTTGTAGATAGTCTAGTTTGGGGTGAAGAACAATTCTAGACGCAGAAGCTAGATGGGAACTAGATGTTACCAGGGGTAGATCCCTTCTTCCCAAGTGTTGATGCTGGTTCCCTGATCCTTTTCCGTGCAAGGAGAAGCTCCATGCTTCTACTCAGAGGATGGAATGATCATGCAATTGCTGCATGCCACTCTGTGTATGGAGAAAGGAACTCCTCATCACTAGAGAAATAAGAGCACTGAAGGGAATCTTTCTGAAATTATCGAGCACTGGTGGTGAAAACCTGCTTTTAGTTCCAATCATTGTTGAGAGTGGGATTTGATTTCCCTCTTAGACTTAAAGAAGGGCTGCAGCAGGAACAGAGTCTAAGCAGAAAAGCGTCAATGGCAGGAACTAGAGGCTTTTCCTCTCAGCCTCCCTTCCAGTAGGTATAAAGAAATGGAGGGGGAGCGCTGGTTACAGGACACTTTGGAGTGTTAAGGCATTGCAAAAGGAGAGTGAACAAAGTTAATTTTATATATGGTTAAAACATAAATGGAAAATTTATATCTGTTTAAAATAGATGATAGACTAAAATATAGACTTTTTGCCAAACTTAGCATATTTCTCAGAGTTTTGTATAATTTTCTAACTGTGGTTTGGCAGTAATTGTAGAAAGTTAACCTGTGTTTGCAATTTTTGTGAAGGGGTGTTTGTGGGGTGCGTATGCAAACATGAAGACTTGCAGATGTAAATTACTTTTTCCAGGCATTAGTGGAGAATTTTCTGTTGCCACTGCTAAAGGAAGTGAAGTCTTTGCCTCTGTTCATAACGAAGAACGAATTCATAACGAAGAACATATGAATTACATTGTGTGTGATACGTATGTGCACTTCTCTTTCAGTTTATTGAGAGAACATTCAATTGATGGCACTGGCTGGGCTCCAACTAGAACTTTAAAGGTACTGTTATGTAACATTTCTGTTTGGTATAATCTTGATCAGCTGAAGTTTTTTAGAAATGAGAAACCACAATGCAGCACAGTTAAGAAAATTTACACTATTTTGATGAGAAGTTAAGTATGTGTTTAATTCTCTTCAGTTAAAATAGGCAGGATGGTTGCACAGGGGGTTTGAATCCAGGCCATTGCTTTTATTTGCTACAGAGTCAAACAGAAAAGTTTTATTTCCGCTGGTACCTGATATTTCAAAAACAGGAAGAATTCAGATTGCAAAATAATTCTCAGGTGCAACATTAACGCCTTATATCAGGAAAGGTAAATTTGTTTAGTGTTGCAGACCAAAGGCCATCATTGGAATACAAATCAGAAAATAGTTCCTGTGCTGTGGCAGCCACAGAAACCTTAATACTGTCCTGTGATGGTGTGAAGAGAATCTCAAACAAGGAATTCAAAAGCTTCACTGCTGTACAAATTGTGGTAATACGAAAATAACCTTAAATGCATTCGGTTGGAGTAACCATGGTTGATGAACAGTTTATATGGCCTCTCATTTTAAGTTGGCCAGTTCTAGAAGGATTAGTCTGTGCAAGGCCAAAAGCAATCAAGAAGAATTCTCCCTTCTGTACTCTCCAAAGGTTGCTTTGGGGACTGTAGTAGGAGAAGGAATCTCTCACTTTCTGCTCCCACTGATGGCAACTGTTGTCAACAGGAGAAATGAAGTGGATGGCCCCCTCTATATTCTGATATTGCATAAAGCTGCAAATCAAAGTCCAAGTCTAAAATCAGTAATTGGTTCACCCAAGTAATCTTACTCTCTCAAAAGCCACCACAAAAGGTTTCAGTTTGGATTGGATATGTGTGCCTAACCCCTCCTGCCTATGCTCTGACTATTTATTTATTTCTTTATTTAGCAGACTTATATGCCGCCCCATTTGCCTCAGCCTTGGGGTGGCTTACAACATAAATAAATAACATCAATATTTCTCTGAGCTGCTGTAGTCACAGATCAGTAAACATATAGGGACCATGGGACATTTATTCCCTGTCTGTAGTTAGTAGCAGCTTGGGTTGTTCTACTCTACTGTCTTCCAAAGGGATATAAAGGAGCCACTGTGCATTGCCTTATTTAGCCTAAACAATTATTGTGGTAGGGAGGAGGAATATGTTGACATGGGTTGCAGTTAAACTGTTCTAGATTCATTTCAAACCACTTGATGGTGTCAAAATCATGCAAATGTTAAACTCTAAATTGTTTTTCTAGGGTTTGTGAAATTTCTTTGCTTTTTAGATATTATCTTTCAGTTACAAATCCAGTTATTATCTTTAGCTTTCTTATAATGTGTTTATTTATGCCTCATTCTACATATGTTCCCTGTCGATTCATGGTTAAGAACATTTATTATTTTCAACTGTGCAGTCACTTGGAGTTTGGTTATTTCTGCATGTACTGCATTGAATATACGCATGCAGCAATTGTCACAAGTACACCCAGATTTGGGAGGCAAATTGCACATGGCACAAATGATCCACAATTATACCTTCCAGTCTCTAAAGCTTAAACGAAGCTACAAGTGTTCTAATCTCCCCCTAACACAGCCCACTGTTCCTCTCAGTCCAAACTCCCTGAAGCTGCTTTTGGTCACAGTGTGGTAAAAAAGCAGATCTGGTGCCTGTCTCCTCCTGCCCCTGCCAACATAACTAATAACAGCTAGCATGGAATTTTGATTGATTGATTAGACATATCATTTCTAAGCACTGGAAAGTTTAAAGTTACGTACATTTTTGAGTCTGTTGAAAGGACTTCCTGTGAAAGGAACTATGTAATGCAGTGGCTTTCTCTGCACTCTGAGGCTTATGTGCATCCAGTGCTCAGAGCAAGGCACAGTGGTGGTTGTCTGTTCCACCAGGAAAGTCTGTTCATTTTATCTAGATGGCTGGTTTTAGCCATGTAGATGAACTGCTGGAGTGGAGGAGTGAAAGATCACAGAGCTGGGATGCCAAATACACCTGCAGTCACTCAGGCAATACTAGGAGGCCATAGCATTGAACCCTAAATGTAGAAAGAATGTCTAATTCTAGATTTGGCACTTAAGTGTATACCCCTTAGTAAACAATTATATGGTTAATGCTTACCTGTGAGTAAGCCTCATTAAACTCAGTGGAGTTCAGTTCTGATTAGGCATGTATAGATACATGGCTAGGTTTAAGGGTTAAATAAACTAAATGTCCACCCACAATTTATTTTAATTCTTAAGGTTACATCATCATCATCATTATTATTATTATTATTATTATTAGGAGGAGGAGGAGTATTTCTTAATAGAATTTCTCCCCACCAAGCCCTCAAAGCAATGCACAATTTAAAACACTAAAATGATACTCTAAAATTGCAACAAGTAAAAACTGAAGCAAAGAACAGCCAAATGGTATAAAATCCATGGAAGGTCTGGTGAAACAGTACCATTTCTACTGCCTGTCTAAAATTAAGTGACAATGGAGCCATCCTGACTTCCCCCAAAAGAGCTCCATGTGGACTACACGTAAAGCTTAAGGTATAAAAAAAAGCTTTAAATTGGTTCAGATTGTTAGTCCAGCAATTAGATTGATAGTTATCTGTATTTAACCATTTCTTAGTTCATAACGATGTGTGGGGAGTGGTCTAATCATTATACAGAAGGGTTTGGAGGGGGGAGGAAACTCCTCACATTCCCTGCCTTTTTCCATAGATTTTAAGCAGCATATTCCCAACCTTGCTCTGCTACTGGATGTGAGTTGCCTGGGAGAAAATTGCATAACATTGCACAGCAAATGTGTTCCTTTTGGTGTGATTAATAGAGCACACACATGCTTAATATGATTGTCTTGTGCTTGTAGTTTGGCTCTGAATAGCTTCTGGATTTTGAAGTGTCATACCCTCTTTTTAACAGCTAGTACAAATTTTAAAAATTAAGCAGGAGCTACTAATTCAGTATTTCATTAGAAGCTTTATACATGTCCAAACATTTGATATCTGCTATTTCACTCTATTATCTTATTAAACACATACAAAGAATCCTTGAGTGGTGAAAATTTGATAGAGTTTCTCACTTTGGTCCTCCAGATTCCATTCTGTTTTCCACAGATTGGTGCCAACCCAAGAGTTGAACTAACATATGGATCAGGGCTGTCTTAACAGCATTATGGGCCCCAGGCAAAGCAGTGCACTGGGGCCCCTACGACAACTACAACTACTGTTAATTTTGGAATTTTTCCAGTTTTCCAAGGGTTTACATACACAGATTAGTATGGGGCCCACAGGAAAGTGCTCATCAGGGCCATGTGTTAAGACGGCCCTGATATGGATTCCCTCTTTCAAAAATGGATAACAATTTGTGAAAGTTAAAAAACTTGAGAAACTTGTGCAAATTTGGGAGCCAGAAATTTGCACAGATTTCAGTGTTGCATAAATTTGGAGCTACAGGGCCAATCTGACCCAAACAGGCTGTCCCGCAACAGGAACTTGCCTTGTTGCTAAATTACTAAATAAAAATCCACCAGCAGTATAATTGTAAACAAGGCAATGCATTGAATATTATTTGTCCAAATGAATTACTTTAAAAAAGAAATCAGATACTGTTACGTATTGCTGTTAAGAATGAAGAGTTTAGAAAGAAACAAAAAACCCCTCTTGGCAGAAATCATGAAAGCTGAAAAATAATAGCCAAAAACAGTATTTAAAAGGTGTCTATTTGATGTGTGCAAATCATATAACCCTAGCAGAAAGCCATAATGCTAGTGCCCAATTAGATCAAAGTGATAGTGACAAACTCCTTGTGAAATAGGGAATGTGGTCAACCAACAAGGAAGTAGTGAGAAGATGAAACTGACAAGAATAAGCTGAGGTTACGTAATGGATTTGAGAATATAATGCATATTATGACCATTTAAATTTAAAGAGTTAGGCTCCATTTGTGCAAATATCCAACTTGTGCAAATTATTCTTGGAGTGCACAGCTTGTGCAACTATTTCACATTTCTTTCCAGAACCTGGGAGGTGGGGGCAGAAATCCAGCACAATCTGATTGCTGGATTAGATAGAAACACTGTGGCTCAAACAAAATAGCTTTCCAAGGGTCACAAATCCCAAGTCCTTATTGATACTTTCAGAAGATTCAGAAGGCTAGTGAGAGAAGATCTTGCTCAAGATGGCTTCTGCAAAAGGAAATCTATGCTTACCAACTATGTAGAATTATTTGGGTATGTGGATATGCTCTTTCACCAAATTCTGTTACTCCAGTTTATGGAAACTTGTAGAGATGGCTGTATTAATTTTAGGATTAGCTTTCCTTGATTTAAAACGTTCTTTTATCTTGAAGATTTTCTTCTAAAGAAGGACTTAGCTTGAGTGTAGCTTTTACTTAAAATAAAATATGAATTTCCCAATTCAGCTATCCACAGATGCTTACAGTTATTCTGAAAAAAACTTAGCTTTCATATTATTAAAGAGAAGAAATAATTTTCACATCCTTTTGTTTCTGCATCTCAAGGCATGAGATCGTATCAACTGACAATAAGTTACTTGCTTTACCTATTACGTTTTCAAAGAATCACCATTACCTCATCTGCCCAGTGAAATCCTTGTCAAACTGAGACCACAGTCTGGCTTTTGCATCCACATCTATCTTGTCACACCTACCATCAGGTTGGTGTGTGTGAAATGTATGACAATATGTCTGGGAGAGCTGCTGCCCAGAAAGGCCTCCTATAAGTGGTTTATATAATAATGATAATCTGTTAAACTATGCAAGGATGCTGTCAAGGTCACAGAAAGGTTTGTTTCTTGTCCATTTTATAATCTCCTGATATTTATCTCTATTCTCTTTCAACCTTGGTAAAAATTAGAAATTATATTTTCAAACCATTTTATTGTTAAGTAATGCAATTCCTGAAGCTAGTACCAAATAAAAAGGAGCTAGAAATATTTTACTCAGTAAATTATGCAGTTTTTATATTTGCTTTCTTTCATTGTGTGCTGCTTTAGGTAAAGAAAATGAATTACACCCCCCCCTCGGGTGTGTGTTTGTGTGCGTGCACGTGCACATGCATGTGTGTGAGAGTGAGAGAGATTTGACATCCAATTTTCCCTAAAATAATTCACAATAGGATATATCCAGTTTGGTTAAGCCTATTTTCAGAAGATTGATTCAGTAGAGACTTCTGTTACTGAACAAAGAAAGCAACAATTTTCAGCCATTCTCCATGTTCCCGCAGCAACCATGCTGCTATTCTAAGCAGTTCTCCAACCCTGTAAAGTGGGAAGTCAGGAGAATAGTTGAAAATTGCCCTTCCTCTCATCTCACAGATGGAAACCTCTGTTATATCAAAGAGTCTTCTCTCAGTGTAGGTACACCAAGTGAACAAAATCCAATATGTTTTATTTCTATAATTTAGATGCCCTTCCTTGATCTAGACATGTTTGTGAGAATGGCATAAATCACAAATGCAATAGAAGATCAAAACACACATCTAACAGGGGAATAATTATAAAAGAAAACACTCTTGAAAGGGGTGTGTGTGTGTGTAAAAGGAGGTATACTCAAATACCGAACTCCTTACATTCCTCCTCCTTCCGGCTGAATATTGTGTAATGGGTTTTTTTTTCAATACCTTGACATTTTGCTTTTGGTTAAAAAAAAAAAAAAAAGTAATGTTCTGTGTAGAAATGTAAAGTGTTTGATTTCTTTGGCTGAAACTACTACTTTTCCTTTTCAGGATGTTGTTTGGGGATTAAACTCTTTATTTACTGTAAGTAACAGCTGCATAGATTAAGCTGTATATCTTTTTTGTTTGACCTTCCAATGCTAAAATTTGCTCCTAACAAAGCAAACTAAGCTTTACAGCTTCCACTTTACAGCTAGTCTGTGGCAGCAGGCTCAGCAAAGATGCTTGTAGCACTTGGAAGACATTGGTTGGGTAGGATCTGGCAGGGGTGATATGCCAGCGCACTTCCTGCAAATTTGGTTGCTAATTTTGCTGTACAGGCAAGACAAACTCTGGTATAAGAGAGATTTTACACTTCCTGTAGGAAGCTCTGAAATGAGCAGAAGTGCTCCTTTCTGTGTCGAGACAATTCAGCAGATTTTCCTTAGTGAGTGCTTCTAGTTGCTCCCAGAATGCTGAATTTCTGTTGTACAGTGGTGTTTCTCACTTGGGAAAGAGAATTAAGGAATGCACGGTAGAATCAGTGTGTGAACAAGCCCACTGGAATACTGCCCTAATTAGTTTATCATGGCATAGGTTTTCTGATGAACTAGACTCTGGTCTATGAAAGCTTATGCCGCAGTAAATAGTTCTAGTCTTTAAGGTACTACAAGAATCTTCATAGTCTTTACAGATCTAAAAACCTCACCACCTGCTGCAAGGTAGAAGGTGTAGCACCCTAACAACGTCTGCATTGCATCCTTTGTTCCCAAAAATAACAGTTTTTCAATCATATACTTGTGTGCTTCTTTGGAAAGTAAAAGGAATAATAAATTCTTAGTTTTTGCCTTTAAAATGCTGTAGCTAAAATAATAAGAGGAACATTGTGACCATGTTGCACTATGTTTACTGCAATCAAGTGATCTTATTTAGGAGCAGGATCTTTCTTAGCTGGGTATAATGCAAAACTGCTCTTTAGAACTCCTGTATTTCCAAAGGACATTCCAGCGCAGAGGGCATATTTGCCCATGATGGCAGACTTACATGTAAGCCATTGTCTTTTCAGGTTAATGCAAGGGTCATGTTAACCCAGCAAGGATAGGCAATGGAAAGATTTAACAATCCTGATGTAACACATGTTTACCTGGTTTGCATGACATAACAACCTCTGAGTATGGGTGGCATATTCAGAATGGCTGCCACATTTGTCCCACACATACTGCACCTTATTTAGCCCACAGTGGTCTGTTGTATCATGCAGTAGCCCCACTATAACTTGCTTGAGCAGATGTTGCATTGCTTCTTTGTTTCATAGCATTTGGTCTGTTAAAGCTGTTAAACAAAAGTCATGCAGCATAACCCAACCCAATCTTCTTTCTACAGCCCTATTTGTCCTTCAAAACTTGGCTCTGTTTTATACATGTTTAGGCAGGAAAAAAAGTCCTGACTCCATACTGCAGTTCTAGGACCCCTAAAATGTATTGTTCCTTCCAGTTGACGTGCATGCTATTGAAAATTGAGGAAGAAGCACATGAAACTTTGGATGAATGTTGCCTGACACATTTTATTTAGCATAATTATTTGTCAAATAATTATTAGTGGTGAAAGCTGCAAAGATTTATAAAATCCTGTATAACTAGCAGCTCAGGTGTTTTAGAGATTGCCAATAAATGCTTAGTATTTTCTAACAGTTGAGGTGAACCTGTTGAGTGGCTCATGATTTGCTATACTATTTTTTCCAGCAAGACAAATTGCATCTTTGGAATAGGAGAAGTTTCAGATCATGAGATCAGCTCAGGAAGGAAAGGCTAAACATGCTTCCCTCATGTCTTTGCTCCACTCCAATTTAGTGTCCAAATTGTACAGCTTTTAAGTGCAAGTTCAAATATCACTTGATCTGGCAACATATATAGCATTATATGTAATTCAGTTGTCAGGCTTTGTAAAAAGACAGTGGGGGGTTAACACCCCCAGCTTACAAGGTTTTTTGATTTGGGAAAAAGAAAAAAATACCACTTGCGTTTAGTTGTGAAAGCCACAAATACAGAATATAATAGTGTGATTTTTGTATCACTTCCAGCATCAACATGCTTCAGAGAAACTAATCTAAACCTTTGTGAGTGAATCTCCTGTTTCCATAGTGATCCCTCTTCTCCCTACAGTGATTTAATTAATACATCAGCTTGTCAATGCACTGCCTGCTTGAATTTAAACAGGGTTGAATTTTTGCCTTCATACAAATACAGAGGAGTATTTGCTGCTGGAGTGAAGTGTTTAGGAATTTTGGACTTTATTACTAATCTAGCAAAGCTAGCTAAATCCCGCCATGTTTAAGGCCTCAGTCCTGTGTAAAGCTCCATGGAATTGAGGCATTTAATTTTGGGGGGTGGGGGAGCATTCCTGCAATTGAGCTGCATATCCATTGAAACTACCTTAAGTCTGTTGTCACCGACTTGAGGCCCATTGCTTTCATTATAATTTATAGTGCAATTATACACAAATTTCCTCAAAAGTAAGTTCAATGAGATTTACTTTCAACTGTGTGTATAGAGTTGTAGCCTATCATAACTAATTAACTGATTTGGGCTACGTTGACATGTGTTTTTCTTCCATGTGAATTTACTGAATTTATGGTTGTGGACCTGTTGCTGCATTTTTTTAATTTTATTGGCAAACTAAAACTGCCCTCTTTACTAGAAATAAAGTATTGGGCAATGACTTCCAAGCACCCAAGTGAGATTTGGACAAGCTGCAGAGCGCCTGCATATTCATGCTAATAGGGCCTGCACTGTACATCAAGCCTCTGTTGAAACTGAGGGGAGTTTTCAGGGAAGTAAGCAGCTTGCAGGGAAGTAAAAAATTCTACCGGACATGCCTAAGGGTTAGGGTTAGGGCCTTTGAGTTGCCTACAATCACTCTTTGGATCCCAGCAAATTACTGTTCCTTAACAAAGGCTGAGCTCTTTGTTCCACTTAAGTGACATTCAGCTTGCCTGGATCAATCCGGGTGTTACTGCCCAGCAGGGTTTGTCCATCATAGGCTTTGGGCTTGCACAGCCCTTTTCCAATTGTGGGCTCCACTTCCCTCACCTCCTGGCTTGTGATGAATATCATTTGCTGCACCATCTGTGTTGGGTGCAGGATGGCATAATGAAACAAACATAGCTTCAATCCAGTATTGGCAACAGTTGTGCGTCCTGGGTTTCTCCACTTCTGGTTTGGAGGTAAGCTGTGGCTGCTGCATAATAAGCGTGTCCAGGCAATTGAGTCAGTAAAGTTTGTTTTTGACTCCAACGTTAATGCAAGTTAGGTCAGTAATGGCTAGGAGCTAGTTAATGGCTTCAAGATTATGGGATCTTTTCCCTGAAAAGGTTGGAAGAATTAACTATGTATTTATAAACTCATGTGTTCATTTGAAATACTTTTTCTGGTAACTCAAAGTGATTGCATTTGCAAGAAATATTTTAAAAAACCTATGAAAATAAGACAACATAAGCCACAATTAAGCACTTTTCAGAAGAAAATTGACCAGTTCAACTCAGTAATGTGGGTTTTCTGGAAAATGTACAAATGGAAAATCATAACATTTCTTTATAGTTACTATAGTTCTTTAGTAACCTGAAAAAACACACTCTATATAAACCAGGGGTTGTTTATATGAGGTGTGTCCAGAAAGTAATGAGAGTGATATTTTAAAAATTCTTTTGTTGAAAACTTTTACAAATGAACATTGTCTCTTTCAAAGTATGCACCTTGTGAGTGTATTCAACACTCCCAGTGATTTTTCCATTCCTCATAGCATCCCTGAAAATCTTCAAGTGGGATGGCATTCAGAGCCTGCATAGTAGCTCTTTGGACATAATTCACACTAGCAAAATGGTGTCCTTTCAAACCATTCTTCATCTATGGGAGTATGAAAAAGTCACAAGGAGCCAAGTCAGGGCTGTAGGGTGGATGGGGAAGCACCATGATGTGTTTTCCAGCCAAACGCTCTCTGACAGCCAAAGCACTGTGACTTGGTGTGTTGTCATGATGAAGGATCCAAGTTGAGCCATTCTCAGGATGCACACGGAAGACTGTTTGTCTCAGGCAACCAAGAACTTCCAGGTAAAATCTTTGATTCACAGTTTGACCAGTAGGTACAAATTCCTTATGGACAATTTCATGCGAATTGAAAAAAACGATGACCATTGATTTGACTCTTGATTTGCTCATTCAAGGTTTCTTGTGCCAAGGGGGCCATCCTGAATTTTTGTTTTTCCATCTCGGGATCATACTCAGACACCCAGGATTCATCTCCTGTGATCACTCGACTCAAAAAATTAGGCTCTCTTTCCGAATGGGCCAACAGGTCTTGGCAAGCAAGTTGACTCACAAGGTGCATACTTTGAAGGAGACAATGTTCAATTGTAAAAATTTTCAATAAAAGAATTTTTAAAAGAATCATATTTATTACTTTCTGGACATATCTCATGCTGTGGAAATGTTTCCATGGAAAAATATAGCATTGGGAATTTTTCCACAGAAAGCCTGTCCCAAATCACTGATTCAGATAAATGGTTGATAAAAGAGATACATTTACAGCCTATCAGGGCGATGAATACAGGAGTTGAAATGTAAAAATTGGAGAGCGAGTGCCCAAACTGCAACCCAAAACCCACTTATTTATCTCAAAGTGCCAACGCTGCAATAAAACCTGAATACTGAGGTTTTAGTTTAGAAAAAACAATGCGCAGCCAGTCCAAGCAAATATATATATATATATATATATATATATATATATATATATATCCTTGGCAGCGCACTGACCGGCCATGCAGAAGCTCAAACGAGTCGCGACTAACGAGTCACAGCTTGTGATGTCATCACCTGGCGCTGCTACTCCTTTCTGAGCATGTGCACGGCCCCTGTGTGTGCTGTTATCTGATGCTCGGCTGCTGGGGCAATGCTGGGCCGACTTGGCTCATGTGCCAACAGAGAGGGCTTGCGTGCCCGCCACAGCACACGTGCCGTAGGTTCTCCACCACTGGCCTAGAGCATGGTCTGATGGCCAAACTGCTGTTTGTTACATCTGAACCAGGCCTTTGTGTACATCCAGTTATTAAACCATGGGTTTGGTGTCAATAAAACTTTGGATTCACCATTTGACTGGATTTCCCATTAGATAATAAAAAGAATTTTCATATGGATGAGGTCCAAAGAGTTATTTTAGGCAGTTCATTGTGCCTGCCTGGTGAAATTTCTGATTTCTATTTCTGTGAAGATCATATATTGTAAATGACTTTTAAAGATTCCCTTCAGTTTACAAAGCAACTTCTTGTGTGGACTGCTTTTCAAGATGTATAAGCCCAAAGCTTATTAAAATGTTTTCTTTGGATCTTGGTCATTTCAGCATGTCACTTTTCATCCAAGTTCATGTTTTTGATAAATGCAGCCAACCCTTTTCTTTAAAGTCCTTGGTTTTGTTCTTTTCAGGATCTCTTGAATTTTGATGATCCTTTGAATATTGAAGCTGCAGAACATCATTTACGTGACAAGGTGAGTGCAGGTGTACTGAAAATGGTCGCTTAAAAGAATGCTATTCATATTTAAAATTGCTTGTATAGTCTTCAGGGAAATTTTTATATATCAGTTTTCAAAATTCATTATTAAGCAGACTATTCCTTTACTGTATTAGATTGGAGCTATGCATGTGAAAGAAGATGGTATAGACTTTTGTCTGGGGGCTGAGATCTGTTGAATGTCTCCCTCCTGTCTGCAAATGCCTGTGTCATTCTCCCCAAATACTCTTGCAACTCTGCTTCAGAACAACAACGTCAACAAAGGTTCTAGAGCAGCCTTCTCCACCTGGTGCGTTCTGGCTGTTTTGAGCATCAGTTGTCATCAGCCCTGGCCAGTAAGGCCAGTGATCAAGAATCCTGGGATTTGTAATCTGGAAGGCTCCAGATTGGGGAAGGCTATTAGGTACCAGGTGATGCTCCCAGCGATTTGGGAATGTGTGTGAGAGATGAAGTTGGCAAAAACAACAGAATTAAAAGAAGTGGCATCAGGATTGTGCAACATGATAATTGTATCAAGCTATTCTATCATACTGTGAAGTGAAATATTAAAATAAATGTTTTGGGTAGGAACCAAAGAATCATAAGTGCAAAATAAGTTGCATAAGCAATTGTAGTACACCATTACTAGAGGCTAATGTCAGTAGAAGAGATTGTGTGCTTCTGTAATTTTAAAAATCTACAACAATTCTTATATTTCATGGAAAGTATGCACATAATGTCCATGAAGGAGAAGTTGTGCACACTTTACTGACGGTACATGCTTTCCCAGCAGGCCCTGTGGGATGTGCGGATCTTGACAGGGCTGCTGCCTTAGCTAGAAGCAGCATTCCACAGGGGCCTGAATTCAAGTAAAGGCATGATTCACGATGGACCTCCACCACATCGTGGACAAAGGTTCCATTGCCACAGAAGTGCCATTGCTATTCTTCTGTGGAAAGAAGAATGATGATTCTTCTATCACTATTTTTTCTGCTTGCCTGTACAGTGCAGGAAATTGGGAGTATTTTGGACAGTGATGTTCCACATGCTCATGTTTCTCATTGGAATTCTGTCCAGTGCCAAACAGGATTTGATGTGGGTTTTTTCCCTATGATTAACACACTAAAATATTATTTCCAAGAGTGCTCAAAGGTTTGTCAAGAGAGCTCACATAGCTGTGATCCTGATCTTGTTGAACTTGTGAAGAACCACTTTGCCCCAGATACAGAATGTGACTGTGAAAGGCACTGTCAGATAATGTAGTTTTCTGTAAATGTTTTCAGTCTTCTGTAAATGTGACGGTATTATCTATAGTACATATAATGATATTTTGAGATGATGAGGCAACTTAAAATCAGATATTTACAAAAAAGTACCAAGTAGGCCATTTCACTGTGAAGAAAAGCTGAAGCCTTCTTAGTGCAGTTGACCCTGGGAGAATGATACAGAGAGGCCACACAAGTGCGAAATTTATAACCACACCACAAGACAGGTCATGTTTGCTTGCCAGAAGGAATTGACATGTCATGAAAACGGTCATGAAAACAGATCCTATACTCTCTGAGGATACAGAGATGGGGTGGTATTTATGTTTTTGTTACTCCTTCCCCTTCATGCAAGAGGGAATTGTGTGACTGTGAATAGGAGCTGAGCCAGGACATGATACCAATGGGCGTATTCCTTCGCAAACCTTTTCCTGCCAGGACAGGCTTGTCCAGGGCACAGAGAGCCTTGACCAGCACCTAGACAATAGATTTTTCAGTGTCAGGTGAAGACCTTTAATCTTCCTAGGTTTTTAGTTCTTCAGTTTGTGCTTAAATGTGAGTTTTTCTATTTTTTAGATTTTTCTCTGTTGCTGGTTTTGACTCTGGCTTCATTTTGTTTTAAAGTTTTTATGTTAACATTTTATCATGTGGTGTTTTAGGATTTTAATATTTGTGAACCATCTGGACAACATTGGGATTTGGATGGTATGGAAATGTAAAGTGATTAGTCTTCTATAAAGCAGGGCAAAGCTAAAAACTCATATCTCACTAGATGTGATGTGACAAAAATCAGTAAAGGCTGGGACAATGCATGTTTGTTTCTGCTAAGCCAGAAGCTTTTTTGGAGAAATTGCCAGTATATTACACATTTGGACTTAAGTACAGAGAAGGCGTGGACATAAGAATACTGCAACCAAGAATACAACACATGACTTTTGATGAGATTTGATTCTTTTCATATTCAAATAGAAAGTCATCACTCAGTTTGCTGTGTTGCTTGTTTGTGTTACAGCTGTGTGCAGAGCCAGAGCTCTTTAATGAACCATTTCGGTTCCTGGTCTACACATTTCTTAGTGGAATGAATCAGATGCCATGCCGTTGCCCACAAAAAGAAGTGCTGCAGCATCGGCTGAACTGCTTGCAATGCACGGCTGTCTGAAACGCTGCCTCATAAAAAGAGGCCCTTGGCACGGCGGACCGGTGCCATCACAGCACAGCCCCAGTTTGTGCAAGCCTCATGCTCCCTTAGCAGCATGATCCCCCTTGCCCGATGCAGGGTGCCATGACATCCAGGCCAGGGGACGGAGTGGCTGGAGGGGCGTGAAAAGCAGCCTGGAGCCCCCAGCTTGTTGTTGGGCGTCAGGGTGATTCATAAACCACCCCGGCCACCCCCCTCACCAGGAGAGTGCCAAGGCAGCCACACCTGGCCAGGGTAGCATGCTGGTGCCTGGCACACAGCGGGACACAAAAAGCCACCGTGGGGTTGTTTCCTTCTGTGGTCGTGTGAGCCTGCCCAGGGAACTGGAACGATTGATGACTGAACAGTGCTAAGCATAAAACAATTTTAGGAGATGCATAACTATTTAGATGTTTTGGGGTGGTGTGTGTGTGTGTTTTTGTTTTTTTTTTGCTAAGTTAAGGCTATTGTGCAGGGTGGCTTGAAGCAAAACCTTTGCGCTCTTTGTGTGTTCTTTACTGCCAGGTGCCTTCAGGTCAAAATATGTGATAGACCTTGTTGGTTTTGCTTACTTCCCAGAACAGTGAATGAGCAGAGTGCTACAGAATGTCTGTCTTAGCCAGGCTGCTCAGCGGTGTGCACAGGGGTCTGCTCAGACAGAGGGGTCCTTCAGCTGCTTCCTGCTTGGTGCAGTCCCTTTCCCCGCAGGGGGCTCTAGAAAAGCCCCCCAAGCAGAGGATGCTGCCTGCCTTGTGCCCGGTGAGACCTTCCATCTCAAGCTTGCCTACAACATTGGCAGTGGCTCTGCAGGGTCTCAGACAGGAGTATCTTCCAGCAAGGGGGTGTCAGGGATTGCATGCTGAGCTCTGCCACTGAGCTGTGGCACTCCATATGAAGTTGCACTTCTGCTGCCACTCACGTAGGATTGCACCCCACCCCTTGTTCCTTCCTCACAGTGCCATTTTATCGGGGGGGGGCTAAGCTGAAAGATGTTTCTATGGAGACAGTGTCAGTTCTCAGATGAATACACTGGCCCAGGCGTTCACTAGTGCATAGAAGCAGCAAGAGCTGGGTTCCTCCACACTCCTAACTAAAATAACCTACAAAGCAGCATTTGAAACTATGAATCCTCCTAGAAGTGCCCATTGTCCATCAACAGTTAACTGGTAGCATTCTTAAATGAAAGAGAAAACTAAAGGTGCACTCACTTTGTATAAAGCATGACTGTTCCAGTAAACATAATAAGCTACATTTAATGTTTCTTGTGGCAGTAGAATCATCCTGTCCTTGATATGTACAAAGAGGCTAAATTTTGTGTGTTTCTACGATCTTAAAATGTAAAAAGCTGACAGCCCATCAGTACTTACGCAGTCAAATCTAACATTTATTTCATCCAGGAGGATTTCCGGTCTAAAGTTGAAGATTACATTAAGCGCTATGCAAGATGATGAAGGGAGATGGAGACAAGGCCACCGCTTGCATATGCAGTGTTGGCTTGATAAACAGCAAAATACCTGGAATGTACTTGTCCTGTGTTCATGTTGTTCTGAAGAAGAAAACAAACTTCGTAATAGTCCATGTGAAATGGAGAGCTCACCGTCAATGCAGCAAGACAGTTGTGTATGTTGGTTGGAAAAACAGTTGTTTGCTAACCCTTAATGTTTTGTTTTCTGAAATTGTACTGTATATCCAGAACTGAAATATGCTTGGGACTGTAAAGGAATCACTAGTAGGGTTATTTACACATTTTCAAACTTTCTTCATGACTAATAAAAATGAATAGCATGTTTACTGGAACACTGAAAATTGGCAATAAAATTGGTCTTCACATGAACCAAGTTGCAGAAACATTTGCCTATGCAAATGAAATAATTTGCAGTGAAATTGGAAATGAATTTAAAATGTGCCCTGTACTGGGCAAAAGTAATTGCATAAAGCCACATATACCTACTCTTGAAGTTTTTCTATTTAATTTAAAAAAAAAAAAACGTAATTGCTGCTTTCTGTTCATCTTTTGCCTACAGTGTTTTAGGTTGCATTATTGTGCAGAGCACTTACTGAAACCAAGGCTGATTCTGTAGCCTACTTAGAAATGCAGTGTATTACTTAAAAAAATATTTTACACACAGGTGCAATGAAAGGAAAAGTGATTATTTTTCAATAATGCCTTTTAAACTTTCAGATTTTGCTGTGGTTAGTATTTCAGACTGTTAATATATCCTGAAATTTGAAGTAATAACTTGGGAGAACTACGCAAAGCTCAAGAAGCAAATCCATGAGAGCAACTTAATGCACATTGCAATCTCGTTATAAGACTCTTGGAAACCAAACCTTTTGTGATAAAGATGCAGTGTATGAAGAGTAATTTTAAAGCCTACTTAGCTAGCTAGCTCTATATCAAAGAATGTATGTATGAGACTGCAGCATATTATGAGCCACACAGAGATATGGGCTATTCTAACGGTGCATGAATTCATTGAAAAGAATGAATGAATGATTAACACTGGTCTACAAATTTTGGGAAATTATCGACCTCTGAGATAAAATGTGCTAATTCTTACATATTTTGATTAGATGAATTAGAAAACAGGTGATAAAGGTGCTGGTTGGCTAAGGTTTTCAAGATACTTCACAATAAAGATTTATACAGAGGCGGGTGTGTTTGCCTACAAGGGAGGGAGGTGTCTGATCATGATGCCTCATAACCTCTCAACAAAGTATGGAAGAACAATGAAATGGCACCACATGGAAGTGTATAAATTTATCTTCACTTTGAGACTAAAGATGATTACCTGACTGTGATGTATTGTTCTTTTATTGCAAGATACATTTGTCTTGGTCAGATCTACGTACCATACAGTTACATCTGGTGGCTTGTGAAAGTGTCATTGCCTCACATTTCCAAGGAACAGTTGTGTGATATTTTCCCTCAGAAGCCAAGATGCCTCAAAACTGTGTAAACAACGTAGCTAACTTCTGCTACATTTGTGGCGAGATTATATTTGCATCTCAAAAGTGCAGTATGACGGCAGTGGTAAGAAAGGCACACCACCTATATTTTGGATGCAGAGTAGGGGATCAGGACAAGAGTTGGGCCCCTCATTATTGTTGCATTACATGTGCAACTTATCTGCATCATTGGCTAAACAAGAAGAAAAAGTCCATGCCTTTCACAGTCCCAATGGTGTGGAGGGAACCCACCAATCATAGTAGTGACTGCTATTTTTGCATGGTTCCCCCAGTTGCAAAAAGGATCTCAAGAAAGAAGTGGACCTTGGAATATCCAAACATTCCATCCACACTGCGTCCTGTCCTCCGGGGTGAGGACTTGCCAATTCCAGATCCACCAGACTCCTACTCTCTAGACTCCGATGAGGATAAAGACGATGAGCAGAATGCAGCTGATCTGGGGTTGTCGATGTCAGCGGACCCAAACTTTAGCCCACCGTGTGCTCCTCCTGAACCACATCTAATTTCACAAAGTGAACTAAATGACCATTCTCATTGCTGTATCACATTTTGTAGAAAAGTTATGGCATATAATCGCACATCCCCTTGTAATTTTGAATTGTTTTGATGCTATTTTGACCTGAAGCTGTATCTTGGAAACTGGAGCCAATTAATACTCAGGACTTAATTTTCCTTTATTAGTGACCCAATTCTGGTAAACTTTAGCTACTTTCATTTCTGAGGCTTTCTCCTTGTAGACCAGTGTAATTGCTTGGGGAAGGGCACATATACCTCAGGAACTGGTTAGAAGTGAATCTCTCACACAGCGTGTGCTCATTATTTTACCCTAGTTCTTCCTGACATAAGTTGAACGTAACTGATGCCCCATATTGATACTGTCTTTGGCTTGGGAGTCAGTGGAGGGATTGAGAGAGAGAGAGAGAGCCATAGTCATCAAATAATTTTCTTTAGCATTTATATGGCTGAAAAGAATTATGTCTAGATTACCATGATAAACTACCACCAAAGCCAGAATGAATAAATGTTTGTGTAGTTTCATATATATTGTGTGCACAGTGTTTTTGCCTTGATGACTACCTATGCCATATGGATGAAACTCTCATTAGATACCACTGTGATTTGCCATTATGGTATGATTTTAAATGCTAATAAGGAAAGCGCTGAAGTTACACAATAATACTGATTCTAACAGTGAAACCAAATGGGCATAGAAATTGGGTGCCGTCTAGTAAAAGATTAATTTTTTAATGGGAAAAGTACTTATCTTTCCCATTACAGTCAGTGGAACTCAGATGTGCTTAACTTTTCTAGATTACACCTGATATTTTGCAGAGATTTGTTGCCATACATAAACAATTCTTCAAATTTGAGAAGCCTCTGTTTAAGCATTTGATAAAAGGGTCCTTTTCTAGGTACTACTGTTGGCTTGCAGGGTGGAAACTCACAAATGTTTCTTTGAAATGATAATGAAGGGATGGAACATCTCCAGTGCTCCAGCTGATGTTGGACTATAACTTCCGTTGTCCTTATTTGCACATGCTGGCCAAGGCTGATGCGAGATCAAATTTTGAAGGCCGCTATAATGCACTGACTGCAATGCATTTCAAGATTGAAAGAGGCTGTTCCCAGTAAGGACAGAGTTCATGAAAGTATTCTCCCTTTAAAATACTGATACATAGAAAAGCAAAAGTAACTGCGTATTCATCTATGTAATCAGTAGCATTAATATAACTTGAAGGAATGTGCCCCCCCCCCGCCATTAAAATGTATAATGTGGAAGTAAGTTTAAAGCCTGATTAAAGTTATTCAGCTTTTTCATCTGTTTATTTGTTCAATAACTGATTGTGAAATCATGTATCTAGAAAGAAATTTCCATCTTCAGCATTCTGGCCTCCCCATCCTATGAAAGACATACCCTAGTATTGGTGCTCAGTAATTTGTTGTCTTTAATTTCAGTGTGTCATATTCTTCAATGCCTTGCACACAGCCAAGTGCTGTACTAGCTTTATAGTGCTAGTACCTTGAAGCTGCACAACTCAGTCCCTGGAGCTGCTTTCCACATTGCCTTTGTAGTGTTGTAGCTGATGTAACCTGGCTCCTTCTCGTGCTACAAAGGGACTGTTAGAAAGCCCAGTTCCAATGGGAAGTCCCTCAGTGCAGGAGCTTTGCATTTCAACCATAGTTTTTGATGTTACGAAGTACCTTTGGGGATGCAGGAGTAAGATGCACTGCAAAGTTTCCGCACCACAAAGGTCATGCAGCTGGGTCATTAAGCCTGAAGTATACCTCCGTTCTTAGTACTATGGGAAACCTCTAAGCAAAGGCACTTTTCTGCCAATTCCTCTTGATGCTCCCAAGTCCCACCTTTCTGGTCCCTCAGCCCTTCAGAGCAGATATCCAAGGCACCTCTGGGTCCACAGCAGGAGAGGGAAGATACTGCCTTCCTCCCACCTGATTCTTCTAGACCAAAGATCTGTGACAGAAAGAGCCCTGTGATTTTTTTGGAATCAAGCCATAATTCCTGACCCTTAAAAAGAGCCAAGAATGGAGATGGAAGTAAGTGTATCTTCATTCTACCATGCCTGTCTTCAAAGATAAATCATGGGATGTTTTCAGCAAAATAAACTCTCCCTTTACAAGATTTTAAATTGGCATTAATATTTAGTCTTCTTAAGCTTCCATATGTGTCGGTGAGAATTGATCGCTACTTGTATATTGTAACATACCCACAACTTTAAGTCCCACATCATTAGTGAGGAAGCTGGATAAATAGGCCTTGGGGGAGAAATGGGAAAGAGCTGTTTCTTTTCAGGACTTGTGGAGAAAATGGAAAAGGACAAACAGTAATATTCTCTAGCATAATGAGTTTGTAGAACCTATAAATGAATGTTATAAAATTATACTGTTAAAAACAGTACTACTGCTGCAGGATTCCTAAATTCCAGAACTTGAAAAATATGGGGTAAAATTTAGTGCTGCCATTCCATTCACATTATGCTTTTGGTCCAGCAGATAACTGCAATTTTAAGAAGATACTCTCACTTTCTTCTGTATCCACATTCCATGCTGTTCCGGAGTATTCCTCAACACTCTGCAGTTTGTTTTCAGGCAATGCAAGCTGCTGCAGTGCAATGGAGGAAACAGAGAAAGCTCTCTCCTCTTAGGTTCCATGAGTGAAATGGCAGCTTTGCATTCTGTCCCTGGAGCATATAGTGGCCTCTGGTCCTGCCGAGGAGCCCGTCATGATTAGTGCTGTTACAGCATGGAGATAAATCTTGCACACCGCACAACACATCACCTCACATTTCAGATTCCTCCTGCAGCAAGTGACATAAGAATGTATTTTCAAATGAATTTGAACAAATATTTAAACAATAAGTTTCAGTGTATATATACCTTCATCTTCTGACGTAATGAAGCGTTCCAAAAATTCAGAGCCAAATGGATCCTTCAGGCACTGGTTCTGATTAAAGAAATAAGCTTCTGAGTTACAATCGTGTTTTCAAAGATGTGTTTTTATGAAGATAGATTAATAACATGGATTTGGGATCACTGCTTAATGCCAGGTCAGTCCATAACAAAACATCCCTCATCCACGACTTAATTGTGAATGAGGGGGCTGACCTGGCTTGCATTGCAGAGACCTGGGTGGGAGAGAGGGGGGGATGTGTCCCTCTCTCAACTGTGCCCGCCCGGGTATCTGGTTCAGTGCCAGCCACGCCCGGAGGGGAGGGGAAGAGGGTTGCTTTATCGAGCTTCTATTTCCTTTGTGAGGCTTCCTGTTCTCTCCAGTCTAGAGTGCCTCTATCTGGCGCTGGGCAACCGAGACAGATTGGGGATTGTGCTGGTGTACCGTGCACCCTTCTGCCCATCAGACTCCCTGCCTGAGCTGATGGAGATCGTCTTGGATCTGGTGTTGAAGACCCCAGGATGTTGGTCCTGGGGGACTTCAATCTCCATGCCGAGACTGTTCTGACTGGGGTGGGTCAGGACTTCATGGCCTCCATGATGACCATGGGGCTGTCTCAGCATGTCATAGGCCTGACCCATGACCGTGGACACATGCTGGGCCTGGTTTTCTCGCTGGGGCAGGAAAAGGGTGATCTGAGGGAGAGGAATTTGTGTCTGACTCCCTTGTCATGGTCAGATCACTTCCTCGT